GAACAACCAAGAGCGGGAGGAGACAACCAGAGCAAACCCAGGAGGAGATTGGGATCTTTGCGAGTCTTTGGATCCATATTGAAACATGAGGTACGGTTGGCAAATGAGCTCACAAAACAAACACCTACTGCCAGAAATATTCTATTCAACTGGGTTGTTCCTAATGGCAAATCTTTCGTAATGCTGGTCTCTTCAGGGAGTTGCTGGGCTGTAGTAAGTATTTGGGAGAAGGACCATTTTTGCTGTAGGGAACGGAGATCTCAGTGACTTTATGGCTCATTCCTCCCTTCATTCATTCATTCATTCATTCATTCATTCAACCGTCCAATGCATAGCCAAGGATTGACTCCTGCAGTCATTGGATCTGCAGTCTCATGGGGAGGATACTTTTATCTGTACGAAGGCTTCAAGAAACAACTTAGACAGAGCAAACAAGCCAGAGGCAAATCAGAAGAGTTGCATTCTCTGGACAATTTTGGAGTGGCCGTCTTGGCGGGTGCTTGCATGGTGTTTTTGACCAATCCAGTCTGGCTCATCAAGACTCGTATGCAACTTCAAATGAAGCGGTCTTCAGACGCCTACAATGTGAAGAAACCATACAAAGGACTCGTGGATGCCGCTGCGACGATTGTGAGGGAAGAAGGTTTCTGGGCTTTGTACAAGGGAACTGTCCCAGCTTTGGCATTGACATCTCACGGGGGAGTTCAGTTTGTAGCCTACGAGTTCCTCAAAAAGCATTTCCATTATGCCAGGCCAAAACGAGATGAAAGCAAGTCCGTTCTGGAGCGTCTAGAATTATCCATGGGATTCTTGACCATTGGAGCAGTCTCAAAAGTGTAAGTAGGAGTACGAAACCAAGGCCAAAGCTGCAAGTAACACGTAAATCATTCAATGGCTCAATCTTTCTTTCTTTGATTACTTTGTACACAGAATTGCCAGCACTGTCACCTATCCTCTGCAGGTGCTCAAGGCTAGATTGCAACAACGGTCAGAATCGCTGGAAATTACAGCAGATGGCGACATCAAAGCCGTGAGACGAGAATACCAAGGTGTCATCAAAAGTATTCGGAGGATGTGGCAACGGGAAGGTATTGCTGGTTTCTTCCGAGGCTGCATTCCCAATGCTATCCGTGTTGCTCCGGGAGCAGCAATAACCTTTCTAGTTTATGAATCGGTGATTGACTTGCTCCAGGGAAAAGGGAGTTGAGTCAACTTTGTCTACAGTAACAGAAATGCCATGGTAGCAAACTGGCTTTTGAACCCTTATTGTTAAGGACTAGCCAATACGAATCCACCAAATCACACCGCAACAGACTGCTCAGTGCCTTTCATAGACTCCCCAAGGAGTACCACAAAAGTACAGGTGGTGCGAAGCCGTCAACCAGCAAAAGAATCCCCAAAAGAATCTACCCAACCCAAACAAAGAACCACATCAGTCGACTGAGTTGCGCCTAGCAGCCGCTCGCCTGTCGTCGAAAATTGGCATCCCTGGATCGGAGTTCATCAGTGGTCCAGTTCGACCATGCGCTGTCTGACTGTGAAACATTGAACTGTCAGCGAGGTCGCTGCTGCATTCTTCAGTAATACCTCGGTTCAGACTTCCGAGTGAAATCTTTTGCACATTTCGAGCAGTTTGGAGGGGAACACTGTCGTCGTCTGACTGGGGGCTCAACGCGTCAGAGCTGCCGCCTGGGTCATATTTGAGCAGTTGGTTTCTCAGTCCGGTGTGGCGCGAACGACCAAGCTCTTTTTTGGTTGCGTTTTCGTCTCGATTGGGTCTCGACTCGTAAATATCGATCGGTTCAGCTCCACCCCCTCGTTGTACTCGTATGTTGTCGATGCTGTCTATATCAACTTCCAAGCGGCCGTGTTGTGAGCGCCGTAGATTGGGAGCAAAGGTGTATCCGACGTGCAGGTTGCGATAGTCGTACACATGAAGACCGTACACGCGTGTGCCTGTCACTGTGCCCGAAAGAGAGACAATCAGCTGCTGGAAATCAACGTTTTCGCGGATAAAGGTGTGATTGCAAATTTCAGTGGGCCAGCGACCGCGGGAGTCTCTGATGATACGGACGGCCCTTTCGGACAGCAGCGGAGACTCTGCGTTCAATACATGGCGAATTGTCCACACTCGTTTGAGGAAAGGATGCGTGTCGCATTCGAGTTTCAAACCCGAGAAGAGTTTCTTCGGCGACAACCCCGAAGTGGGATCTTCTTCGACACATATTGCGTGCCTTCGTTTCGGGGCCTTTTGTGGTATTGTTATCTCCCCCATGGCTTCACCGGAAGCGGTCCTCAACAGTCGCTTCTTTACAATCACGCTCTCGATTTTACTTGCTCCCTTAGTAGAAACTCTCTTCAGCACGTGGTTAACCTTTTCGCTTGAATCAATATCAGCTGAAGTTGTTGAATTTGCAAGTGATCCCTTTGATGACGACCATAGGATGTTTTTCTTGGTCCTACTCAAATAACCAGACGAAGCAAAGACAGACCTGCTTGATAAGCCCGACCTGGATGATTTGAAGGCACCGCGACCCGTCGACCACGTTTGGTCAATGTCGCCAAACCGTACCGGGACTTTGGAGCGGAGAAACACACTCGCGGAATGACCCATCCCCTTTATCATTTCCAAACTTGGGCGTCCACCGCTCATGACAGTTCCCATGACGCCAGTGCGTGTACTGGAATTGTCCGGTTCCTTGTTTGCCAGAGTACTTCCAACCACACTTATTCTAGCGTCCAAAATCTCGCCCGTGTCATCACCGAAGAGTGTATTGGCAAGTCGAAATTCCAGGACAGGACACGGGAAGAAGGCGCGTTCGGTATCGACTTTGGAAACTGGCTTTTCATTCCGGTCGTCAATCCGGTCGTCGTCGTCCTCCGTATACATGACACCTGTTCCAAACCTAAGGATCATACGCTGGCTGAATTGTACGCTGGCAGTTGATTTTGCTCTGGTCATTTTTCCAACAACGACAGCCCCGCAAAATGAAGCAAATAAGACACCAACAAAAGCTTCTAGAGCGGAGATTGTTGTCAAGAAGGAACAGCTGAGCTGGATATCGTCGGACTCGGTTCGGACCGCGGGGTGCACCAAACCGTACCCCTGAAGAAACATATTGTCAGCTTCCTGTTGAAAAACATATCTGGCAAATTGTCCCCGATTCAAGGATTCAGCGTCCTTCGTTGACCACAACTTACCACTGTACTAAACGTCGTCCAAGAAAGAGAATACGCATCGATAAAATAGAGTCCGCCTTCTTCAAAATTATGTCCATTTGGTAGTCTGAGACATTCTGGTTGTAACCGAGCACCAAGATAGATAGCGACTGCAAACAAACACACCATTCCCAAGAATGCCACTGCCTCCGACAGCAGCACCCAAATGAACTTTGATTGCAGTGACCAAATCAAGTAGCTCGTCAAAGGTCCCGGCTCCAAATCGTGCGATTGGGATTGTATTTGCTCCTTGAACTAACACAACAACACCGTTGCAAACGATTCGATTGGACAAACGAACAGAGTGAGATTTTGGCAGTGGATTGTTGGAACATTGTTGTCGTCGTGACATATTATGACTTACAGCATTCGACTGTATCCTGGTATGCATCCTGTACTGGGGTTCGAGGTACAGCCCATGCATGGACTCTTGTTTGTGGATATCCGGTCCCGTTCGCAGGACCGTTTTCCGTCGTCGCTCGTTTGGATTCATGGCATCGGGATAATCAATGATGCGTTGACAAATGACTTCCCGATAGGTTTCGGCACCCGTCTGAATATCCATTTTGCGGCTTTTCCGAATGACAGTAGGTTGATAAAAGTTTTGTTCTCGAGATGCCCCAAAGGCTACCGAGTATCGGGTGAAACTATTTTTGGTGGCACTCCGGACAATCGGTGGTCCCCCCTCGTCGCTTCGCCCCGACCCGGAGAGATCCATCGATCTGGATCGGAATTTCTTTTGCTTGAATCTGGGTTTGAAAATGGTGTCTTCCTCGTTGTCAGCTTTGAAGCTGAATCGTTCCGAAACGGCTTTTTTTAGCAGAAATGAGGGACGTTTTGGCGTGTCATCATTCGAACTAGAATGTAGGGAAGACCCCAGTCCTCTCGCAGTTTCTATTCGCGCTGATCGGGGTATTCTAGTGGGTGCCGGTCTGGCTGTGGGTTTCGTGGGCATTCCTCTTCCACCGCGAGTGCCTCTTCTGGTAGTCCTTTTACTACTTGTTGGACCACGAGGAGCTTGACGCAAGTTTCCAGACGCCTCATTCCGGGACAGTACGCCTCCTCGTCGACTTCCGCCGCCGGGATCTGCTATTATTCGACTTCGAGGGCCAATATCGGAAAAATTCATGGATTCGCTAATGACACTGCTGTCGCTGTCGCTGTCGTCAAGTTCCAGCAACGCGCTGCTGCAGCTCTGGAACGAGTCACTATCGTCATCGTCGTCCTTTACAGTCTCAACCTTGGGGGGAGTATTGTCGCTGGTTCTTCTTGGAATAACTTCTTCTTCTTCTTCTTCTTGTTTTGCGGGGGAACTGGCAATCGAATCGGCGTTGCTGTGTTGTGTATTACTGGCTTCTGTCAACTCACTTTCCACCCGGTACATTCGTTTGTTATTGACATTGACATTCCCACTATCGACCGTGTCGGCCTCGGCAATGTATCCGCCGGTTCCCATGCTAAAGTCGCTTCCCAGACTCTGGTCACTCGGAAGATCCTCTCGAGCAGACGACGACGACGACGACGACGAATTCAGGGCATCCAGAGCGTCCAACCCAGACGGATCGTTGTAACCCAAATCGTCCGAGTCCGGTAAGCCATTGCCATTCATTTGGATGTGAGTACCGGTACTAGTATGCGCCGATTGGTGCCTCGATTCTTCTTTCTTCTCATCCACATTATTGTTCTTGCCGTTATGACTATTCTCGTCCAGCGTGTCGTTCTCGTCGTCACAGCTTGCAGTTCTCTTGAGTAATCGCGGTGGGTCGTCTTCCTTGCCAGCTTCTGTCGTTGCAGTCACAGCCGCATCGGCAGTCGGAATTCGGCTGCTTTCTTCTTCCATGTCTTTTGATGGATTGCCTCGCCTCCTTGGCGGCTTTATCACAAGAGACAAACTCAACTCACACCCGCTTGCCTACTATATAACAGCTAGCTAGATAGGTGCTTTCAACTGTTAGCTAAAAGGAGGAGAGCTACACTGCCCCAACCTCCACTTCTTCAATCATCGAATCGAACAACGGCGCTAGCTAGAATAGAAGCAATGAGTGAGTGGGCGCACCATCCAATGGGACACAGCTGAGACTGACCACGAATGTCGTTGTTTGCCAGCACGAAGGGTCGTTCAGTCGCTCCAAAAGCGTCACTATTTCAACTTTAGTACTGCTCCGGAGAAATTGCCCTTGCTGAACAGCTGCTGAACAAAGATTGAAAAATAAATGTAATTAACACTTGCGACTACCAGCGTCATCAGAATTAATACAGAATAGATCTATTGACTTCTTTCGTTTGTTCTGACACGTCATCTTTCAAAGATTTAGAGGGAGCTATTGTACCGGTATATTTAGCTGACAGAGCTGCATGATGCAAAACACGGGAAACAAGCTCCAATCTCTCCACTTGATCGCGCTAAGGCTTCCATCTGAACCGAATCCTTGCACGCGCTAAAAGTCGGGTGCTACCGTACAGTGTAAGAGAGGAATAGAGTGGACAGAGGTCCAGGGCCAGGTGCAAGGGCGTGAGCCAGAAAGTCAAGAGAGCAAACCAACCAAAGGAGGGAAGGATGGCAAGAAATGAGGGCAGTGAATGGTGAAAGGGGAAGGGGACGAAGACTAGCGCTAAAGATCAAGCGCATCAAAATTCTCCCAATGCCGGGACCTACTTATGGTTGTAGCAGGAACACAAGAACTAGCTAGTATGGAGGCACATCATAGCTGCTTGAGCAAGCTAGCAAGGGCAATGCTCAACCCGGCGAAAACGTAAGAGCGAACCACAGTGTACAGTATCGCTGGGATCAGTTCTCTACTAGCTAGGTCTAAAGTTGGTACTAGAGCTGTTGCAGCAACAGCCGTAGCTGCAGCAGCAAACAGGCCACCAGCAGGGACAACAAATGGTTTGAAGTGCAAGCATTGTGCACGTGCACTGAGTCCGGCTTCTCACGCTGGAAACGTGCCTTCACGGCAGTGATAATGCGATCACGACGACCAGGGGATTCAACATCCACAAGGGAGACATCAAAGATACAATCTGTACCCCAATGCCACCAGCCGTGGACCAGGAGATCGCCTCAGTCTTGTTGGATGGCAGGATCAGAGGGAGTAGGAGCATGAGAGGAATTAGCTAGCAGGATAGTTTATGGGGGCCAAGGCTAGACGACCAAGAGTGATGCGGGTTTGTCGGAGCTGAGGGAATGAAAGGAAGACATAGAGGGTAACCAGCAAGCTCGCTCATGCACAATTTGATTGTGGCACCGAAGAAGTCCACTGCGGGAGCAGGAAAGGCATGGTGGAGACCGAGCCTCTTTCTTGCAGCCATCACAGTGGGGTTGGAAATCCGTAGGACGGGTCAGTCATATCAAAGATGGAGGGAGTCACGGAACTCGAGGGAAGAGAGGACTGTGTCATTCTGGGGCTGGGCGTGATGGAAAGCCATACCCCAGTAGAACAAACTGGTTTGATACCTAGGTATTCTTGTATGGTGTAGTGCAGCTTCTGCCCCTTGTCGTCACTGCAAGACTGCAAGCTAGCTATAATAGGTAGTCTGAGTTTTGCACCTAGTATTAGTTGGTCCCAATGGGTTACAATGTGGATGGTGTGCCTGTTTGCCTATCGTACCCTACCGGTACCGGTACTTGCTCGTTTTCACAAGCTACATGGAGTCTTGGACTCCACCTAGTGGGATATCACTTCGTCCTGCTGTCTCCTGTGGATGGTGCCGAAAGCTTCATCAACCGAGCAACGACCTCACCATTCATATCTTGGCCGCCGTGGATGGTGGATGGTTGGCTTATGGGGTGTCCACTCAACTGGGAATGAATCGAATCCAAGCGAACCCATTGGATCGACGGTACCAACGCGTTCCTTTGATTGCTTGGTTATGGCCAAACGAAGTTTGATGGGCCTTTTCATGACCTCCCACAAGACATGAGATTATCCACCATTCAGGATTTGAGATACCTGGTACTGGTACTGTACCGCATCTTATTAATATTAATATTTTCTTTACACTCTTAAAAAAGGAGTCATCTACCACAGGATGTTGAAAATTATACATAAAACAACGTTGAAGCATGCCCAATGGAGATCCTAAATCCTCGGCGGACCCAGTGTTGGCTGGATTGGCTGGCCTATCTAGTGACGACGGCTCGGAGTGGAATGGGCGTACCTGGTAGCTCTGGTGCTACAGTACTTGGTAGTACTGTACTGTACAAGAAAAGTGAGTAAAATGAAGCCCTACCAATTTCCAATGCCAGCACAGAGACTCGCACAAAATACTTTCCAGAGTCTCAAAACGCAACTTTCCCACAATTCCAAAGGATCCCAACCAAAAGTGGTCTGATACCGTGCTGCTCTCCTTTAGCTTTGCCGTTCACACAACCATGAAGTTACTCCTCTGTGCTCTCGCCCTTGTCGTCCCGGTTGTCCCGGTGCTGGGTCAAACAACGATTCTCACTCAGGCGGAACATGCCCTCTACCTCGAACTGATTTCCAGCAGGGTAACCGACAAGTGTGCCTGTTCAAAAAGTGATCCCCACCTCACAACCTACGATGGTCATAACACGGACTGCCAAGGAAGTGGCGACTACATCCTCAGCAGGTCTCTTGATTCTGATTTTGAAATGCAAGCGCGCTTTTCCATCAACTCTCTCCGCCAAGGTACTTTCAACTTTGCCACAGGACAGCTCCAGATTTTCAATGGTACTGTGGCCAAATCAACGGTCTTCAAGTCTGGTTATGACAGCGAGCCTGTCATTGAAGTCTTTGCTGGATCGAACAACGCTCAAAGTCTTGGTGAGTGTGAAATGGAATGGTTCTTTGACAAGGTGGAGAAGGCAAACATTGGTTCTGGATCCGGCATTTCAGGCGGAACCAGCGGTACCGGTGATGGTACTGATAATGTAGGCCATGGTTTTGAAGACCTTGGCTGGGGTGTCTTTATGCGATCTGGACCATACAGGTACCTGTACCTTCGAGAGTCCAAGGTCTACCTCGAGTTCAAGAAGTGGCACTTTGACACTTGGGGCTGTGCCATGAACGTCTGTGTCTGCCTACCCAACACTTCTCTCAGGAATGAAAAATTTGTCGGGTTGTTTGGCACACCGAACTGGGACACCTCCGATGAATACATGGAGAGGGACGGAAAGAAAATCCCCAATGGCAAAGTGCCGAGAACGGTTGCTGATCAAAACGGTGAGTGCACGAAGTCCTGTTGTCCTTTGTGCCATAGATGATGCTAACCAAGTCTTCCATCAACATTTTCAGCTTACTGCCTCGAACACTGGTGCATTAATGACAAGAATGAAAACATGTTCAAATATCCTCTTAATGGGTGCGATGCTGACCTCTCCAGGGAATTGGATGAATCACTGGATCATGTGAATCAAACAATCAAGGAAATGTGCCTGTTCGAGCGAGACTGTATCTTGGATACTATTGTTTCTGGTGACACATCTCTTGGACAGAGGACTCTCGAGGAGGAAAATGAGGGCCATGATGTTGATCCTACAAGGCATCCAGAAGATGAAGTCGAAGGCGACATTCTATGCGGCCTGCCTGCTGAGCGTTTTACCGGGAACAAGAATTGCAAGGACTTTGGCTATGACTTTGGCTACAAGATGGATGGGTGTGATGTTAATGATGCTGGTGACTTCAACAATGCTGAGATGGAGCTCACTCAGTTGAAGGCAGAGGCCACATGCAGTGGCTTGCAGAATCCTGGAACCTTTCAATTACAGTGTTCTGAACCCGATGGTAATCAATTTCGCAAGGCCTTGATCACCCCAAGTGTTGATCTCACCATCAAAATGAAGGGAGGCAATGGAGGTGTCCTCTACAAGGAAGCAAAAGCGGGCGAAACATACTCTCTGGACGTTGGTGATGCCAAAGCCATCAGTCACGTTGAGTTCTGCTTCAAATGTGCTGATCTGCCTGCCACCAGTGCCCCAACTACAGAACCAAGCCCCAGTCCCACAGATACTCCAACATCCAGCCCAACCTCGAGCCCAACGTCCGGCCCAACATCTAGTCCAACAGCCGGCCCAACAGGATCACCTACATCCTCACCCACTGGACCTCAAACTGGTGCCCCAACAGGTGCACCGACAGGAACACCCACGGAAACACCTACTGGAAGTCCAACCAAGGCAGCAACAGACCCACCAGCCCCAGACCAACCGGATGACCGAAGTGGTGGTACAGAAGAAGTTTATGTGAAGGTGAGTGTCTCTTGTACCTATTGAACATGGTGATACTTGAATCTTTGAATTCAATCCTAATCTTGCTGCTCTGTGCTACTTGCAGGGTGACCCACATTTCAAGACCTTTGGAGGAGACATGTATGATGTAAGTCGCTACAACATACCTCAACTGCCAACGCGAAACGCAAACTCAACTTTTCACTGCTGATTCTTACAACAGTTCCATGGAGAGTGTGATCTTGTCTTGCTTCACAACCCTCAATTTATGCAAGGATTGGGCATGGACATCCATGTTCGCACCAAGATTGAAGATTTCTGGAGCTCTGTTGAGACTGCTGCAATTTTGATTGGCGATGATACCCTTGAAATTGAGGCCAACCCTGGTAATGATGAATGGCTCTGGATCAATGGAAAACTCATGGCTGACATTGAAGAGGGTAACTGGTATACCACCAGCATCTCTGGGTTCTTGGTCCGATACAAGCAAGACAGCCCCAGTGTCCGGGAAGTCCACATTTATCTGAAGCAGGGGGGCTCAAAGGAAAAGATTTTCTTCAAGACATTCAAATCCTTTGTCCGAGTCAACTTTGACTGGGAGGGTTCAGACAATTTTGTTGGAGCTACTGGCCTTTTGGGAAGCTATGATCACAATGGCGCCCGTTTCGGCCGAGATGGCACGACTCTCATCAAGAACAATCACAAGTTTGGACAGGAATGGCAAGTTCTTGACACTGAACCCAGGCTATTTCACTCGTATGAGGGAGCCGTGGTAGGGAAGAAGTGCATTATGCCTCCTGCATATACTGAGGAATCTGCTACTCAGATGCGCATGAGAAAACGACGTCTCGGTGAGTCTGCCTTGACCGAAGCTGATGCTGAGAAGGCCTGCGGACACTTGAATGATCCAGAAGAAATCAAGGCCTGTGTCTTCGATGTCTTGGCTACTCAGGATGCCTCCATTGCCAATGACTGGTAGAGCAGAGGCATGGCTCGCTCATTCTGACAAGAATTCTACATCTACGCCAGCTGCATATTTGATAAATGTTTTAGTATATTTGTTTGCTCTTATCTAGTTGTAGGACCTTCCCTAAGTAGCACCACTGGTATGGATATCGTCGTCTGCTTCTGGCACAGGGGCATTTGCTGGAGGGAGGAGTCCGCCAGCTTCGTCTTGGGCGGCAAGTGCGTCGACGGAGTCACTGATGATCTTTTGAAGCTTGAGCACTGTTGCACCTCCTACCGGTACATTTGAGCTTGCTTCGCTACGGTCGCCCTCAGATGGGCAGAGGAGTTCGTCAGGGGCAACACTCCAAACATCATCCGCGTTGTAGGGATCCAACAGTCCCTTTGAGCGCCGGAAACTGCTATTTGCAATGCTACTTGAGTCCACATGTATATACGCATCTTGAACGCTCCCAGATCCAGACCCAGAGTTCCAGCCGCTGTCAGATTCTTCTGACACGGCACCATTGAAGCTATCCCAGTGCTTCCAACAGCTGAAGGCAGAACGAATGTCAATGTCTGCCATCACCTCATCTCGTTCATCGCTGTTTTCAGAAGTGCCGTTTCTGTTGGTGTTCCCGGGAGGGGTAGACGTGCTGCTGCTGTTGTCGCCACTGTTGGGTGGGCAGGGACCTTCCAGGGTTGCATCGCGCCGTTCCGGTAGTTTAAACCCGTTGCGATGACACCGCACAACATGTAGCACTGTTACAGAAAACACTGCAACTGAGGCGAGAGCCAATGCCAACAACAAAAGAGTAAACCTAGGCTCATGAGAATCTCCCAGTGTTTCGGTACCAACATGGTGGATTCCGGGAGTACTCTCCGTTACTGCCACGTTGGTCGTCGACGCATTCTCCGATCTCGTTGGAGCATCGAATAAGCTAGAAACATCGAATGTGTCCCTGGCGAGTCTGTCCAAGTCTGCAATGTTCTCGTCCCACAGAGCTGCCAGATCGTGCACAGCTTGCTCCAAAGAAACCGATCTTCCAAGAAGTACCGTTGCGGACATGGTCAGGGCTGTCGGAAGCCAAGAAGACTCGGACTGCAGAAAGCGAAGATTGCGTCGACGCTGAAGAAGCGACAGGTGGCTGGCTTCCAATTGGGGTCCAATGCGCTGGTAAGTCAAGGCCACTCGAAGGATCGTTACCAGAGTTTGTTGCTCTTCGAGAAAATCCTTGATGATGCGCTCCATCAACTTTGCTTCGTCGTCCTCCAAAAGGCGAGCAATGCCGACCAAAACAATCTCGATGTCCATCGTTTGATCCCAAGCTTGGCCGCCGTCCGTTGATGGGGCATGTGTTGTGTTCGTTTCGACTAGAGGCATTGAGGAGGGTACTATCGTTGTTGGGTTTGCCGAGGATTCGATTGATGGGGCTCCCGTCGGCAACGCAGTATTGATTGTTGGGTTAATGGTGGGGCTGGATGTTTGCAAAGTCGGTGACCATGAAGGCACAGTGGACGGGGGTGGTGAGGCGACGATCGTTGGGTAGACTGAGGGTTTGCTCGTCGTCGGATGCATGGTGGGCGAAGCCGTATCTCGCTTGGTAGGACTGGGTGTCTGACGAGTCGGCGACCATGAAGGCAAAGTGGACGGGGTTGGTGAGGGTATCGCCGTGGGTAGCGTTGATGGCTTGCTTGTTGGATTGTTCGTTGGACTACCGGTAGGCTCGTCGGAGCACGTTAAAGCCCCGAGTACAAGATTTGAGGGGCAGGGCTGGCAAGGAGTTTGGGCATCCCGCTGCCTCCCGATCGTTGGTTCAAAGCTTCCCATGCTGCAAGCAATGGCGTCGCAACCAAATTCGTTGGGGTCTAGACCATTCATGGGACGGTCAGAGCTGCACAGCGCTGAGGGTATGGTCCCGGTCAGCCCGACACCATCAAGAAGGAGTGTATCCAAGTCATTCAAGTCGTTCATGCACTCAGGCAGCGAGCCACGAAGGCCTCGGTTGCCAGAAATGTCAACGACCTTCAACTTTTGTAGAGGACAAAGTGCTTCGGGGGAAATACTGCCTTTGAACCTATTCTTTTGCAGCTTTAGTTTCGAGAGCTTGGACTTCTTTGGGCTAAAGAAAGGCAGAGGCCCCGTGAACTTGTTCTCGGAAAGGTCCACATGCTTCAACTCTCGCAGATTCATCAAGGACTGTGGAATGCGTCCTCCGAGCGAATTCGATGAAAGATTGATTGTTTTTAGAAGAGGAAGATGCTCAAAGAGATCATCCGGTAGAGTTCCTACTAGCCCTGTATTCTTTAGAGAAATGCCTTCGATCAGAAAAGGCTGCGTTTCGTCCTCCTCCTGACGTTTCGACGAGCAGTGGATACCATGGAAGGAGCAGTAGTCATACGCGTTGTCACCCAAGTGATTTTGATCGCTGAACCATACCGGCAAAGCCAAACCCGTGGCGGCGTAGAAGAGCTCCAGGGCTTGTTGTTCCAAAGGGTTTGTCCCAATAACAGTCGATTCCTTCTTATCTTTGGCTAAATGGCGTCTGCTTGGAACCTTCCTTGTATCAACACTACCATCCAAGCCGAAGGGCGTCTCAATCGCTGCAACGTTCCTTGGAATCGCGACTGCCAACCCGAAGAGAAGAAGTGCACACCAAAAGCCTCCTGGTGCTTGTTTGCGGTTTATCATGGTGGTGGAGAGAAGTTGTCTTTCAGGTACCGGTACCACCGAATCAGGTCAACAGTAATGATTCAATTCCAGTTCGTTTGCAGCCTACGAACTGAGTTCCCACGGAAAAGGGTTGCTTGTTGATAGCAACTTGCTACTGTAGGCTAGTAGTGCGAATAATACTCCACTGGCAATCCCGCGATGATGCATAGCAAGCTTTAGTACAACATGTATGTAGTTATGCAGATTATCATGCAGTTAGTGGTGCATCCTTCTTCAGCGTGTTGTCTCCGAGGTGCGTGTGGTACAGTTCCCGTCTCGTGTTGTTCTGTTCTTGTTTACGTTGATACCGCGAACTGGTTCACTTACTCCGCATCATCCAAGCTAAGTATCCTTGAGCATGTGTCGTTCCAGCGCCACTTCTTGAATCATTGGAAAAGAGCAGGCGAGGAGCTGAGCTGCCAAGCCAAAGGCACCCTTTGCCGTTCCAAGATCGTGACGCGTTTCGTCCAGAGACTTGTGGAAGATGACCACGGAGAGTACCATTTCCCACAATAGTAGAGTTCCAAAGCTGATGGTAAAGATGGTAGTTGTATGTGTATGATAACTGTCCCAGAAGAGACCTGCACAAGCGTTCAGAATGTGCCATATCATGAGAGCTTGTTTCGAGAGTTGCCAACAAAAGAGTAGCATGATTGGGATTTCCAGCAACACGGCTTCCAGCTCATCCCCCAGCAAGGGCTCGATGGCCAGAGTTCGAATGGCACCCATGGGAAAACCAACGGCAAACATGCTGGTGCCGTAAAACACACCCGACAGGACGGCCGCGACGTCAATGCCAGCATTGATCTTGTTGTGGCCGGGTTTGCGTGTCATTGTTGGAGTTTTTGATTTCTAGCAATCCAGGGTTCTCTTGTTCTTTCTTTTGTTTCAGTTCGTGCGTAGTAATGGAGCTTTATGAGCTCTTGGCTTGGTGATACCATACGAAGTGAAGTTTGGTAGATTCGGTGATTGACACTGTAATAAGAGAACGAGAACCATCTTGGATTCGGTTTGCAGTTGCTTTGGTGACCGTGCTGTTGTTTCGGTTTGACGCTTTTTGTGTCTGGGACACTCAGGAAAACCAGCTTGGGTTGCTAGACAATAGCTAAAGCTAACGAAGAGTTGTGTCTATCACCATTTTCTGGATGTCCCTGAATTATGCAAGGAGCCTCTTCAACTCGAGAAAGAGAACGATGAAGAACGGGTGACATGTTGCCCACGATACCAAGGAGGCCTGTCTCTTTCAACTAGCTACAGCTACCGGTACCTCGCCACCCATCACCACAATGCATTGGCATGGCATCTACCTAGCTAGGTACCTGTTGTTCCAGTTTGGCGGTAGGGTAGAGGTTGAGGACCGCCGTGGAATGTGATGCATCCATAGAGCAACCAAAGCTATGGTTTGGCATCGCCGGATCTGGTCGATGAATCTCAGGCTAGCTAGATACCGCATGTTGAACTATCTAAAGGTGTTCAAGTCAAGTTTCTAGCTAGTAGAGTAGTAGCTTTAGGACCTCATTCTTATTATTATCAGTTTAGTTAGGCAGCCCGCGCACCCGGTGGATGAAGCCTACTAAGGCCGTAAAAATTGGCTCCCGTCCTGGAGACACCTTCGTGTCCTTTGCTGTTGGTCTCTGGCGGCTGCAAGCGACTCGCTTCAGCAAAGCAGACCATGGTTTTGGGAACCTCTCCTAGCATGAAATGGAGGTTGCCAATGACACGCAAGAGACGCACCACCGTTTCTCCTTGATTGTTGTGGTTGCTCTTGGCAATCTCCAAGGCTTGTCGAAAGTAGTCAATGGCCGATTCAAAGTCACCTCGTTCTTCGTGTACACGAGCAATGTGCTGCAGTGTCATGCTGACATCGGGATGATGGTTGCCCAAGACTTGTCGCTCGACGCGTAGAGATTCGCAGTACCATTCAATGCCTTGTTCCTCTTCTCCGTTTTGCATACAGGAAGTGGCCAAATTGAACATGAGGACGGCAATTTCTTTGGAGGATGACGACGAGGAGAGCAATTTGGTTTCATTTTGTTGCTGTTGCTGCAGCAACAATAGCTTGGTTCGCAGTTGGATGCATTCTTGAAAGGCCTCCTTGGCCATGTCCATCATACCCAACTTGAAGAGGACCAAACCAATGGAATTGATGGTTTCGGCGACATCTGCATGCTGACTCGTGCCAAGTTTTTCCAATCGGACTCGTAGAGCTTCTTGGTAGCAGTCCAATGCTGGTTTGTAGGCTTGCAAGAGATACAACATGAGTCCCATGCTGGAGAGCGTCGACGCCACTTCCAAACTGCTCACGGGAGGAGTGGGTGTTCCATGGGTGTTGCTGTTGCTAGTACTCTTGTTGTTGGCGAGTATTTGTACTTGCATGGCATGCACTTCCTTGTAATACCGGAGTGCCGACACATAGTCGGTATTGTGCTTGTATACTCGAGCAATGTTGATTTTGGTAATCAAAATGTTGGCATGAAGGGGCTGTGTATCTTTGAAGAGTGTTTCTTGCGTCTGCAAAAAGTGCAAGAAGCAATCAATGGCATTGGTATAATCGTTTCGTTCGGCATAGAGGGATCCCATTTCCGATAGAATACAAGAGACTTCCGTCTCCAACGGTCCGACGGCGCCACATCCGGCCTGGAATGCTCGCCGCAGCAGTGTGCACGCCTCGTCGAGTTGTCCCTGTTGTCGATGGACTTGTGCCATGGCCCGTTGGACGGCACAAATGTCGCGATGTGTAGCACTGCCATAGTGACCACTGGCCACCCTTAAGAATTCTCGATAAGCTTCGAGAGCAGGTTCCAAGGCACCCCGATAGTGCAAACTTTGGCCGAGATTGAACAACATGGCGGCCGTATCCATCGAGTCATCGCCCAGTAGTTGTTTTCGAATGTGATATGCCTTGTGGAATGCGTTCATGGCCATTTCATGATCACTGGTGAGAAAATGAATGCGTCCCATGTTTCCCAGAACCGTGGCGACTTGGCGACGACAACTCGACACAATAGTGTTAGCTTGATAAATGTTCAAGCTTTCTTGGAGCAATGTCAAGGCTTCTTCCGAGTCGTTCTCTTGGGCACTGCTACGGTGAAAGAGGAGTACGGCAATGCAATTGTACGCCGCCGCGCGGTCCATCATGGTCGCGCTGCCAGTAGACGTTGTCAGTACGGCCAAGGCATCTTGATAGAACTGCATCGCTTCGGGATTGAGTCCCAAACAGTAGGAGCAATATCCCAAGTTGTGGAGAATGTAGAGTTGGAGGAGATGTTGTTGCTCATCTGCGGGTTGGTATTGTTGGAGCAAGTTCCAGGCCATTTGGAACCATCGACGCGCTTGATTGTACTGCTTGTAGCCCACGTAGATGAGTCCCATGTTGTAGCGAAGCGTCACCACTTGCTGGTGCACTTGGGAGGAGAGGATGGGAAGAGCATCTTGATAGACGTGAAGGCCTTCGTCGTAGTCTTCTCGTTGAAAAATGTAGCACGACGGCAAGGCGCGTTCCCGTGGAATCGATGATGATGCTGCTGTATCGGGGGCAGTAGTAGTAGTAGTGGTGCTTGCAACAGGCGTGATGGTCGAGGAGAGAAGATGGCTGCTGCTGATAATGGCATTGCAGCAGCTCGTCGTTTGGTCTTGCTGCTGCTGTTGGTGTTCCAACTGCCACAGGGCCCGCAAAAAGTTGTTAGCTGCTTCGGTTCGTCGACCTTGTTCCAAGAGAGACACACCCGCGTTGTTGAATTGAGCAATCTCGTCACAGTCACAGGTTGAAGGTAGTACAACCTTAGTAGTGTTGTTGTTGCCATCTTCAACACAAGAAGAGGAAGCAGGAGGAGGAGGAGGAAGACTGTCACTCGTCTCCATTCGCTCCAGATCGTCATGATGATGAAGGGCGAGACAAGAGTTGGGTGCCGTGTTGGCAAGGCAACAGGAAAACGAAATGGCACTCATTGTACAAAAGTTGGATGGATGGATGGATGGATGGCTGAATGAAACAAGAGTTTGTTTTAATAAAAAAGTCTGAGGTGGGGGTAGCAGCACCGACTAACTGAGGTGATTGAGAAGGGAGCGAGAGATGATGAGCTTCCTTGAAAGGTGAAAGCAGTTGCCAGTACTTTATTGCTGGGGAAGGTTGGTTGTCACGTTGTCACCTCTATTTCCCACTTTGCATTTATTTGTCTTCGGTTTTCTCTTTTGTTTCGTAAGCAACGGCTTAGATAACTGATCGAGAATATTGGGCAGTGGGCAGTGGGCAGACACACCAGTCGAGCTCCAGTGGCGAAAAAGCCACATTCAGGCGGCAACAGTACGAAAGGGAAGGCAATTGGCTGCATAAAGCATCGGAAAATTAGCACAGCAACCGGGCCCGCACGGAAGAAACTGATTTGTTAACAGCATACCGTACAGCATCTGCATTACTCACTTAGAAGCTATGAGCTACGGCAGTACCAGTGTACCACCTCGCCGCCCCGAATTCACGTGTACGGAATACACTCAAGCACAAGGTTATAAATACTTGGAATCCGATGGAGTCTCAAACACTATGCAGTCACAGTTCCCTTCAAGTGTGGGTTAAACAACAACAGTGAGCCAATTGAGGGTTTCTGATGAAACAATTTTTGACTCTCTTGGTATTTAGATTATTCTCTCATCAACCAGTTATTTGGCTTAAGCTTTGACAATCATGCATGAAAGCTCATGTAGCAATGCTGCTTTAGAACAAACTATCTTGTAATCAAGGTTAAAACTAATGAAGCGTAAAAATTCTGGTTTCACTGACAACTCTGGATAGCTTGTGGATTCACCATGTTGTTAAATCTATCAAAACAGATGCGACGTTCCGCTTGGAACCAATCACAGAGCACCTGCATGTTCACAATTATTGAGGTATGTGAATCTAAACCAATCTGTAATCTGGATCATCTCTTGGTGCTGATGATGTTTAAAGGCGAGATGCATTGGAAAACCTAAGATTTAACTATGCAATACGTGCGACAATTTAAGCAAGTCACATTCTATAGAAGCACGCTTGTACGTACCGGTAAGACTGACATTCTTGTGTTACGTTGGGGGCGACCCGTAACAGTTGCTCATGCTTGATATCATAGCATCATAGCACCGAGTGTGTCGCGTCCCAGCGTCCCAGCATGAACTGGCATCGACCTGTAGCGTACCGGTACTAGCTGCCTAGCAGGTTTTGATCGTTCGACACTGTTGATGGGCATGCCAAATGAATGCTCCACCCTCGACTTCTGCTGAGATGACGCACCTTTTTTAGTGAGGTAGTCTAGGCCAAGCTTGCTTGCTGCTAGCTAGTTAGACTTTAAAGTAACTGTTGATGGTCATGTCCTGGATTGGGATATACAAACACCTTGAACTGCTGAGCCCTTGATTACTCTTTGATGAACTACAAAGCTTTCCACAACGCTTCTGGAAAACCAAAGTGGCTTCTTTGAAGCTGCTGTTTGGTTGGAAGCCTGATGTCATGAAACATGCAAACACTATCAAGTTTTGAAGGACAGCCAAATTTTGCTTCATCCGCTCAACTGGCTTAAGGTAACACGTTGGAGCTGTCAAAACATTCGTTTCTGGTCTCTGGGAAATCCAATCTGTCATGGTCTTTGGAAAAAGAAGCTCAATCATTCGAGGATCCGCACGCAGTGACGAGTCCTCATGAGCCCCCCTATTGTACCCTACTAGTAGGTACCGGTAGAGTCTAGTAGGTGGAAACACCTGACAATGGCCTATCCATGTTGCCTTCGGTAGCTTTACAGTTGGTACCGGTACTCGCTAGAGGAGTAGACCCCCAGAGGAACTCCTTACACCTATGAAGCAAACGACCCTGACAAGCAGCAAGAACTTCTGAAGGAGAGAAATAGGCTACTTTCAGAAAAGACGAAATCCACTTTTGTTAGGGCATTGCTCGCCATGATGACTACCGGTACAGCTAGCTAATGAGGAGGTAGTGGAAAAGGTCAAGCTTGGAAAGCTCCTGAGTACTGCCCACGCAGAGGATATATACAAGATTCAGATGGTATGTACAATGTGCGTTTAGTGATATAAGAAGTTGTCTATTTAGCAAGTTTGATGTCTCTTGAGTTCTGGCAATTGACTGTAACTTGTAGCCTTGTTGCTGATGTTGTCGCAGTAATCCATGTAAAGACTCTTTAGGCAAACAGCCAGTTCACTGCCGCTGTCTTCCAAGTCTCGCCGAGCCACTCTTCGGCCACTGGGACCACCACAAGTCAGGCCAGAGATGTCATCATCCATGGGCTTTCCGTAGCTGCGTGGCTTGGTGCGTTGTTGCTTTTTGATGTTGGTGGTAGAACGACGACGAGTAAAGTTCACGGCGGATTCTTCCAGATCATCCAGGTCCAGTTCTCCCCAAGAACTCCTGCTCACATCATCGTCCATGCTCAGTTCTTGTTGGCTATAAGTCAACCGGGTGTCATCGTTCAGACAGCTCGATGGAATACTTTGTACGAGATCGTCAAAATCAATCTCAGCCGACTCATGTCCAGCCAGGGAACCCAAGGAGGACGAAGAGATGGTTTTGATCGTTCGGCTGGACTTGTCTTTTACGGGACGGTGATCTGTCAAGACACTCTCGACGCTGATCTCACCCCACGAGCTGTCATCCATGCCCATGGTTGAAGACAAGGTAGAGCAAACGCTTCGGCGCTTTTCCATAGTGCTCATATCAAACATGGTCGTTTTTGTAGCGGTAGTTGATGACATGATTGTGATTTACTAATGTTGTTTCTCAGATCAGATGTTTTGGAATTGTGAGAGATACAGAATCCTGAATGGATGAGCAATGCTTGCAAGCTGATGTGGGAAGACAGCGGTGGCGCAGTCGCAGCACCACGGTGATGTGAAATGTGAAAAGGCCGAAGGATCCTTGATTGCCAAACAAAAACCACCGTTCTCTATTCTCTGTTTTCATGTTGTACTTTATTCTCTATACTGACTGCCAGCTCAGAAACCTATGACTACTGAGATTCTAGAGAAGTTTCATCATGTTCATAGAGGGCATTAATACTTAGGTCAATGATCAGCAAGAAAGAGCCGGATTTGATCCGAGGAAAAGAGACCGCGCGCTTGGGCAATAGATTGATGTTCCATTGCATAATCTCTTGCATTCTTCGGACGCCTCGATTGCGAGCTGTTTCGTCTCAAAGATCCAGTGGTTTTTGTCTCGTGTGCTGCACAGTGGTACAGTGTACACAGCATGTTCAGTCTGTCATGCTGGATTTTGCTGGCTACGGTACCGTTACACTTCAAACTCAATAATAAGAAATCTATAACTGGGAGTCGGTACTCGGGAGTCAGTACTCGAGCTTAGTGCTCTATTTTGCTACTCATTTTATTTCTAGCCAAACAAGACAATTCCAGTATAGAAGACTTTCTTACTAAGCTTCTAGATCAAGCAGTTTACTGTTTTGACACACCCAGTGCACCTGGGTCTTGGGGTCCAACTTGCTCAGGACTCTTTTAAAATTGGTTTGGATCAAGTAAAAGTGGCGATCACTGCCTCTGCCGCCAGGCAGAAAATTTTGCAGATTTAGGCACAAGTTAGGATCATTTTCATGGTGTCAGACTAGTAATATTTCTTGTGCTTTGAGGTATCAATACTGGGAAGCTTTCTTACAAGTTTGTGATATTTCAGTATAAAAAGATTCTTATCTTTTTTTTTTTAAATCTGAGTACTCGCTTTCTTGTTTTGAGTTTCTTAACTTGAGGTTTGGAGTGTAGTGGCGAGCTACAAAAAGATTTTTTTTCAGAGCTCAGAGTATTCAGTATTCAGTACAGTACGATCATACGATCAAGCAAGATCCTCCGGTCCCACCTCCCTCCCTTCCTCCCTTGATTTGGACAGTCAGTAGCCATGCAATACGCCACGCCTTGGTTGGCCAGCTCCAAGGCTCCAAGGCCAGCCAGCAGCCAGCAGCATCCAAACGCATGTAGCTATCCAAATCCAATGCACTACCAGTACTCCGAGTACTAGCTCTAGTAGCTGGTAGTAGCTAGTACATGTACTTCATTACCACTGACGTCCCGACTCTGAACTTTGCTTTGGCTACTGGCCGACTTGTCCTTTTCACCTACAAAGCCAAGACAGAATAATATGCAACCAACAAAAGTGGCTGCAACTCCTTGCCTTTGATGGGGAGATGCAAGTGAATTGGAACGAATAGAGAATACTGTAGGGTCTTGTTCAGTCTGCTTCTGCTTTCTGCCCATCATCCCTTCTGTTACATGTAGCCTTCTTGCTTCAAGCAATAGGCTGTCCAACACAACCAAGCAAATCGAGCGATCCAAACAATGACATATTATTACGACATCTGGGCTTCCTAGTCTGCTTGATGAGTTAGTTATGCTAGCTACACGTAATCGCAGGGATGCAACTCCCGACATACCGGCAGGGCTGCGGGGAGGAGCACATACACTCTTCACTGCGACTGAAATTGCAATTTATTTGCGCACCCTTGGGGGGAAATTTTAATAGTATGAAGTATGAACGTATGAACCACTCTTGAGCTGCGTCGAAGAGACAGTTGATGGTACCGGGGTTGAAATAATGTCTGACCAGCTATCTATGCTGTCACCCCACCCAAGATGAAAAACAGTGGCTACCCAGTCCAAGATGGAAGGCCGCGGCTGACAAAGAGTTGGATCAAGCACAGAGAAATTGGCAACTACCAAGAGTTATTTCGGGCGTTTGGAAACCAATGGTTCTTGCCAGCCGATTTCCTTTGCACTTCGCTCTCAAAACTCAATTTGCGCCTCTACAACTTGCTCCATCCTTGCATCTTGCATCCGGGCACCCTCAAGCCCTCCAGCTCTGTGCTACGGTAAACTCGTACCTTTCTGTTAAAATCATAATAAACTAGTATTGGTTAGATGTAGTGGATATCCGCCAGCGAGTTCGAGGAATCTAGTACTAGCTAGTAGGAAAAGGGTCCAAAGGCTTGTCTGGGAGACAGGTAAAAAGGGAGTGACCAGTGCTGGGGGAGGGCTACTAGGTTCCAGAGGGACATACGGAAAGTGAAGCCGAGGCTAATGAGCGTTGGAGATGCAGTGCAAGATGCGTGGAGATGTTGAGTGCTAGCTAATGTTTGGTGTGCACATCTTGGTGGAGATAAAGAAATGGCGGGTGGTGTAGAGGGAACTGGTGGGGTGTAATGAGAGGTGACAGTGGGAAGGAGACCAGTTGGAACAAAATAGAAAGTAGCTGACAGAGAGCATTGGAAAAGGGTGGAGATCTAAGGTGGTGGGTAATGAAGTAGAGGATTCCGTGGTACAACACATAAAAGAATGGGCAAATGGACCAAGGCCACCAAAACGATCATGAATGGGAGTATGATGATTCCAGCCTGATGACAGCAGCAAAGTACGGTACTGGTCATTGCTGCTCCAGCCACTGTAAATTAGATCTAAGTCCTCTTAGGTGAGTCTGGTAAAGGGGTGGGCGGGGTTGTCTTGAGATGTAGGCTTTGTATCAGAGAATGTAGAGCAAGGTGTGACCACCAGTCATCAATGGCCAGAATGAAGCAGGGTGTACGGGAGCTGGGCGGATGGAGGAGGAGACCAACGACGGCTGGGCATTGATGTGGAAGGCCATGGTGCTGTCTAAATTGCATGTAGCATTTACTAAACTAGCCAAGAATCTAGCTGTGAGAGAAAATAAATTATCGATATTATTATTGTTGTTAATGCTCGGGCAATGGGATGTCAGGGCGAAAGGGGTGGAAGGCAGTGATCTGATTGGCTGAGAGGACCGAAGAACAATGTATATGTCAGCGATATATAAGGAACAAGATTCAAATATACTTAACGTACCATTTATAGATATTACAGAGTAAATGTGCTATCTATTCACCGTTTTCTGTTTTCGCGAAACTCGAAACAAGGATTCCTCCGTTCGTTCGATCGACAATGACAACAACAACCACCGGAGAGCCACTCGACAGTCATTATCTTGGCCAAAAAGCCACCAACAGCAGCAGCAGAAGACAGCATCATGGATAACACAACAACAACTGGCGCTGCCACAACAGCCACAGGAATGGGATGCCAAAGCCAGAATAGGAACTCGCAAAAGAAGAGAGCTTTTGAACTCGCTGCCAACAACAACAGATCGAAGAGAGCCAGAGAAGAAGGACCCCAAACGACACTGGGAGGAGAGGTAGCAGAAGTCTTTGATCCACTCAAGAACTGTGTCATCTGTAAGGCCAGACATCTTGGTCTCAGAGTCCCCAAGAGATCACACTCTGTCTTCTGTATTAAGAATAAAATAACAAAAGGACAAGGACCTTTGAATGCGCTGACCATGGAGACAATCAAAGAAAGCAGAAGACTCACCAGACAATTCAGTGCTCCTCTACCACTGAATGAGAGAGGAGCTGGAGGCATTCCACAGAGAAAATGGAGAAGCATTCTTTGCTGCTAGAACCAACACAGCCAAACCAAAGCAGAGCCGGCAACAGCAACAAAAGGCAGCAATGGCCACTCCAGTAGCTCTTTGTGAAAAGGTAACCACTCTTGTTAATGATACTGCCTTTGTGGAAAAGCACAAGAAGAAAGGAGCACCACTGGCAATGCTAGCAATGGCAGAAGCAGTGTCAGAATCCATTACAAGGTCAAAGAACCAGGAACTATTCCAGCAACATTTTGATGGACTCACCATGACAGTTCCTCCACAGAGGAGCAATTCGAGTCTCCTCACTACCACTCCATTGTTGGGCAGAAACTCCTTCTAGTGGACTGGAATCGATGTGAATCACTGTACCCTGCCCTGATGGAAGATGTCTGGCAAACTCAAGAATACAAGGACAACTGGTCACACAACAAGACTTGTTCCCCATCTTTGGCATCACTGGTCCTCCTTCTTGGTGTATGGTCATGTCCATGGTTTGTGAAAGCTGCAACAGAAGATTCGATGCAACTCTGCAGAAGTGCTGTCTCGATCCCAGACCATGCTTATTGCTCTATCCAGTGGAGAAAAGTACGCTCTACCTAACAAGCTAGTCACTTGGACAGAACAGCAACTGGAGTGTTTGACACTATAATGGTTACCTATGGAAATGGTGAACTCTGCAGCCGGCTCATCTACAATGCAATCAACAGACAGTTCATTAGGGCCATGGCATCATACTTCTCCTATTGGGAGGAAGGACAGATCCAGATCCCTTTCTTCAAAAGGAGGACTTACATCAGACAGTATTCCTCCCCTTGGTGACACCATCAGAGATATATATGATGCTGCTTGTGCTTCCAACAGGAATCCGTGGAGGATCAGTGACAACCAAAGGCACACAAGAGAGATCCAAAGTGTCAGTTCAACAAAGGAATCTTCTGTCAAGACCATACCTTTCAGGTGTCAAGAACTACTCCAGAGTCTTGGTGCTGCTGCGTTTGGGATGCTGCCACAGAGACTGGTGAGATTGCATGTTGCTGTTCTTGTTCCCACCACCAAGACCATCCACTCTCCCATGCTGCCATGCAGCTAGCAAGGAGGAGCAACTTCAAACCAGCTGCCATGTACAGCGAACACATGGCCCAAAAAGGATGACTATGGGAGTCTCTTTCAGGTATCGAGGGAAGACTTGGCCTGTTCCATTATGAGAAAAGGATTCTGTCAACTTTGAGGAAGGGTCACATTGATTACTTTCAAGCAATGGGAGACCTCTTGGACTGCTCTATGAGTACTCACCAGATGACTATGAGAAGGTCCTCCATGCTTGAAACATGGCCTCTTGTCCTCCAATGGCAAGCACTACTCCATGGCAGAGATCTCCGACATGCAAGCCTCCAAGGTATTCAGAGATCGGTACTCAAGTATCTGAGGAAGAAGATGAGAGAACCAGAGACAATGAGACAGAAGTTGCAACAGTGGTTCTGCAGTACAAGGTGACTGCCAGTGATGGTAGCCAGCCAGACAGGGCCGACTCGATCCAGCAAGAACTATACCTTGTTACTCAGACACCAAGCCAGCTGTAGAGAACTGTGTGGAGAAAGCTGCTCATTGGCTGATCCCCTGCATGGAAGAAATGTATGACACAATCCAACCTTCTCCAAACTCCAAGCACAATCTTCAGAGTACCTATCAAGGAGAGGAGAGTCAAAGTTAGAGCTTTCCATGACAAGTTTGCCCACTTTGGCAATGGTGGAATGAGAGGGAGCCTTGCTGATGCACTCAACCTGCTGGACTGCTAGATACAAACTCAAGATTGACACAAGAAGCCTTCCTGTCAAGAATCAGTGGCAGAAGGAGTCAATTCCAGCTTGGATGGGAGAAGGTGGTTCCATATTGAACCATTCAGAGTTGGCTTACCTGAATGAAATGCACAAGCTGTTGGTCTAGACAAGCCATTTCCAAATGCAGAGCCATTGCAAAGGACACTGGAGAGGATTCTTTTCAGACTTCATTGTTTGATTCAAACCTCACAGCAGAAGTACTCACCAAATGATTGTTGCTTGTGTAGATTTGTGCACCAGTCCAGTTGAAGCTTCACAACCACAACCGGTTCCACAAACCACAACCGGTTCCACCACCACAACCGTCCACAACAACAACCCCACAACCGTTCCACAGCTCCAACCTCCACCACCCAATCCACCACCACAAGCAGCTCCTCCTGTAGCACAAACAAGAAATTCTTACATTGGTAACCTGATTCTCTATCAGCAACAACACCAGATTCAAATGATGCAACTTGCCTTAATGCAGCAGCAATTGCAGCCAATACTGCCAGCTCCTTCCAGCAACCTCCACCGAATGGTGCTGTCACAAATACTGCCATTGGTTGACACACAGGAGAGAAGACCACCACATGATCCCCATTGCCAATCTAAATTGAGTGGGTATGGGTAGCAACAATATTTAGATCCATCAAATTCATTTCTAATTTAGCCAGTAACTTACATAATCATTGCCAAGAAATCATCACCATAGTCTCACTCATCATCTGAATCAATGCCAATGAAATCAATAACCATAGTCTCACTCATCGCAGCCAATTCCTGGAAGGAAATATTCTTCTTGTGGTCATACCAGCGGCAACAATGAAATGCAAGCATCCATATAAAACTGTCCTTCAAGGGAGGAACCTCATAGCTCTCACTGATCCTTTCCCTCACTAACCAATAGATGCACTCAATGCAGATGTCCTTCCTTTCACAGGGATGTGGCGACGGCGACTCCAGCATTTCAGAGAGGGTGGAGATGACAGCTCTGTTACCATTTTGGACTTTTCGAAGGCCTGAAGCTAACATGTAATCCATGATGTCGGTCATGGCAGGAGAAGTGGCTTGCATGCTCCTTGCAATATCAAATCCTCAAGAACCGTCACTTCCATGCTGGTTGTCCAAACAGAATTATCCTCCTCATCACTGTTTACCCACAAATGACATACTTGATTGAATCCTTGCCTTGTACCTCAGCTCATTGAATGGGTATTGTTGACACTTTGCAGCCACTTGGAGAACCATGGACTAGTAGCAATCCTCATTGTGACGTTCGGTGGAAGCGACGTTGGTGGAAGGACGACGTTCGGTGGAGGACACGTTCGGTGGAAGGACGACGTTCGGTGGGGACGTAGGAGTAGTAGTGGTTGTTGTTGTTGCCAAGAGTCTTGCCCCTACCCACGTAGTCGCTGACTAAGACAAAATAGACCAGCAGGCGTCGGTAGAGGAAGGATCGTCCGTAGAGGAAGGAGTGTCGGTAGAGGAAGGAGTCACGGTGTCGTCCGATCTGGTTGCACGCCGTTCGGTTGAGAGCGATCGAACGACTCTTCAGCCAAAGTAACAACAGTAGCAGCAGAGGACAAGATAATAGTGTTAGCAATCATTAGCTATCGCAAACAACAACCGCCATTGTCAAACAGTAACAACAACATTCTTACCCGGTGTAGGACGTCGCTGTTGCTGTGGTGTCGAAATTTCGAATTGTGGGAGGGTTTGGTGTCAGCGAAGGATTGGGAAAGAGCCAGCCAGAAGGTATCGGAATATCCGTTGGATCAATTTGAATTTGATCAACGAACCTCTCTGGTGACGTATTTGCTGACATATACATGTTCTTCGGATGTAGGAGATTTAACGGAGAGGGGCCGATGACCAGGTCATTGCCGTTTCCCCTCTTTCTGGTTCATTACTGGCATCTTCGTGACCAGATCTTTAGCCCTGCCTGCTCTCCAACCGGAATCTGGAACTCAACGATAACCCTCTCCTCTTCTTCTTCTTTTCCCTCCCCGCGCTCATGCCTAACCCCCCCATAAAGTCATGGGAAACACCCCCGGTGCTGAAGGCTTTGGCAATGACAAGCAATGCGATCTAGCTCCAAAATCGTTGGCGAACTCCAGCGTTCGGTCCACTGAATCGCCAACTCTGAGCACAGTGCTTCTCAGCTTCGATGATACTGGCTAGTAGGCACTGAGCGCGAAAACTAAGGGCCTGTATCCTCTTTAGCCCCCAAAAGTTGACCCTGAATTTCAGACATTTAATGTTGTTGCCTCCCATGGTGCTGTTGTGTATGTCGAACGATGAGTTCTTGGTTCAACACTGGCCGCAATTCTGCTTCTTTTTCGGAGAATGCATCTCGAGAACAGAGCAAATAAGTTAAACGGTGGTCTAGTACTACTCCTGGCTTCGAGCTTAACATCCACATGGCGCAATAATGACATCCCAACCGGCCAGCTTGTGCAAAGACAAATGAAATATATGCATGTTTTAAAATAAAGTAGGCTGCTTGATGTACCTTTGGCAGCATGTAGCAAGTAAACTGATAGAACGTGCTGCGGGGGCGCCAAGCATCCGCAAACTCTTTCTTCCGTTCTGAAAGTGCAAAGCGAACCACGGCTGCGGATTGCGGATACAGTTTCATCCGTGCGTGGATAGACAAGAGTGAAAGCAATTTTAGGACTGGACCAACTTGGGTCCAAACAACTCCTCCCCCCAAATCTTATGGTTCATCTCTGTTGAAATGGAAATCTCAAGTGGTCTCTGAAAGCGCAACCGCTCAGCCTCTTCTTCCTGATTTCGAGATGTAAGGTCCATGCAAATTGTTTGCTTCACTACAGACCCTTTGGCTGTCCTCCCTCGTCCCACGGCATGGACACACACACACCGCATGCCATATCCAAAGGCATTTCTCAATCGCCCCGGTGTGCGTAGCGGACCGACGGTGCTGTTGAGTTTCGGAGGCGGAGATTTTCCAACCAATGATTGGGAAAGCGGTTTGGGCTCCTTAATTGGATTCGTTCCTTGAGACAAAAGTGTGCTAGGTACCACCCGAGGCGCCACCGTTGACAGACCAGCAGCTTTCTTGTCCTCGAAGGGGAAGATATCAGATAGGAAGTCGATGGCCTCGGTGAGCTCACATTCAGGAACATCGAGGCTCGACCAAGGCGCCGGTGAGGCGGGCACAACCCTGGTATCTGGAACTTCAGGCTGGCTGTAATCCGATTCCCAGTCACTTGTATTGGAGACAACAGACGCAACCGATGGCCTCCCTAGAAGAGGACTTGGGCTGAAACAAGTTGTCTTCGACTGATCAATGGATAGCAAAGTCGGCTTGACGAGCGTCCTTCTCGCTTCCTTTGACTGGATGCTCCTCCTGCGAACCAAGCTGGTGAGAAGACGAGGACTGCCACGTCGAAACAGGCTGTGCGTGTGGGTTTCCTGGTGGACTCCACTACTGGATTGGTGCTGTAAACGAGAGAAGCCGTGCAAGTCGAGCAATCGATGGAAGGAAGAGAGTTTCGAGATGAAAAAGTATCTGGTGTGCATCGAGAACGAAAAGACAAGCGTATTTAGGCTTCTCCCCTTTCAAAAGCTGACCAAACGATAACGACATCGTATGCATACCTGGGCATTATCAACGTCGAGAACTTCGAAAAGTCGTGAATAGCGAAAGACGTGCCATTGGGCTCCCAAGATACCGTCTCTTCAAACGGTCCACCAACGTTGTTTGTGTCTGAGCATGCCTGACCTAGCATTTTATACAACTGAAGTGGAAATGATACGTTCTTGTCGTCATCCTCACCCTGGGGAGAAACACCACGGACCATGCTGTTTCGTAGCTTCCACGGCATGGGTGCAGAGCTACTGGGTTCCAATAGAGGTAGCTCCAGAGAGTGAATTGTCAGGGGGCAGGGCATGTTAGCAATCATGGTGGGGATTTGGGATTTGATGAGAAGAAGCAGCTCGAGCTTATCCATGCGATTAGCGACGCTTAGTTTGAAATGTGGGAGCCGGTGTTTCTTGGTGGTTCACAAGCTGAAAGAGAGAGCGTACTACCAGTAGCTTTCGACGGCCGGAAGAAAAAGATTCATTCGCAAGATCGGCAGATCGGCTGCTCCACTTCTTCCAAAAATGACTGCGAAGTTAGCATTATTTTACTAAACAAAAAAGAACTTATGGAGAATTCTGGCAACTGAGTTACCCTTTCAGTCATTTTTCTGTAATTGGGATATATGACCTGCCATCTGAGAAATGTCTTCAAAGGCAAGCATGGGTTAGAATAGATTGGCTGATGCGTGGTTGAATTGCCTTTTCAGCCATTCAGGGTTCTTTCGGTCGAATTATTTGGTTCTTGGGGCAAAGTGCCGAAGGAGAAAGGATGGTCATTCCAAAAAATCCAAAAATCATCCTGTCCTCCATCCCATAAGCTGTCCCATGTTACCATGTTACTAGGTACCATACTCAGAAACTTTTACACGTGTAGTCTAGCTCCACTTACCGGGAGGTTTGGAGGTTCACGGGGTGGAGCAGCTTGGAAGAGCAGCTGGAAGGTGCGGAATGCGGTGACAGGTTAGAGCTGTTGAAGATATCTACAGGGGTGGTACCTGTAGCGGTATGCATAGATCTAGCTAGCTATGTAGCTAGAGCCTAGCTAGCACGGAAGGACTGAACAAGTAAGTGTTTGAGTCAAGTCGAGTCTCCGTGGAGACGTTTGAATCAATCATTCGATTGAAGATTCGATAGAAATTCATTCCACAAGGCCCACGGTAATTGAATGCCATTGAAGGACGAAAGAGAAAGGTCTCAAATTTTCTGGTCAGTCTTTGAGCAAGCAGTCTTGCTGGCCTCAAAACTTTGCTCTTTTGTGTCTTCAAGGTTGGGGCTATTATTGTCTTGGCCTTACTGGCTTGCAAACAGAGCTCTTTTTGTGTCTGGAAATGCGATTAGGGTTGGCGTTTTCGAGGTCGACTCGCTTGCACCAAAGCGACCCTCGCAGAAACCGCTTTGGCGACGAGGTCGAGAGCGACGGACTGCATTCTGTTGGTTGGTTGCTTCTTGTTTGTTGAGGCAATCTCCGTTGTGTGCGATCGCAGGAAACAAGCAAGGAGGCGTTGATTGATTGAAATAGTGAGAGGGACAGTGGCTTGTTTTGTTGTTGAGCAACGAACGAGAAAGAAGACGACGTTGACCCAAGTTGTTGTCTTGGCCGTGACAGTCAGTAATCCACAACCATGGGTCAGACAGCATCGCGTGAAAAGTTCCGAGAGTCCGTCAAGGCGTTGATCGAACTGGATGTGTCTAGCGATGATGCGGAATTCTGGGACGAGCTGTGGAAAATTCCATCGTCGGCTCAAGAGGTCTTTGAATTGATTCCTCCCGAAGCAGCGCGGCGACTGAGAGATGATCGGTTTGAGAATTTAGCCACCTTATTCACACAGGCAACTGCACAGCTGTGTCAGATTGTAGAGACGCCCTACAACATCTACTTTGATCAAGCGTTGAATTGCGTCCGTGTCTTGACTAGAATTCTGCCCTTTTTGCTGGAAAAAGGTGAGTCTAAGAACAATTTCAGCGGTTTTCTGCTCCAGCAATGACGCGTTCGGAAGTGTCATTTTTTTCTAATCACTCATCCAACCTTTCTTTTGACGTCCTCTTTCCAAAGGTGATTTGGGTGATGCGGACGAATTTGTGGAGCAGCTATGCTGGGGAACAGGTGCCTCGCCAATCCCAGGAGATGAAAAGATTGGCTTGATGGTCGGAGGAGCCAAGGAGGATGAAATGTCCACACAGTCAGCTGCCAAAGACAAGGCCAACAAACCTGAAGATGAACAAGAGCCGTTGGCGCTGTTGGTCGTTCACGCAGCAATGCACATGCTGTTTTTACCTCAATTCACCTGCGATTTCTACGAAGATGCCGACAAGGGAGGCAAACGAGGCAATAACCGCCGCGAACACAACACCAAGGAGGACCGGGAGATGAGAGCAGAAGCTGGGTTGAGGGAAAAGAAGGTCGAGTGGGGAGTCCCGATTCTGCCTCGACCAACTAGCATTTGCTGGTCGCCCGGTGCAGGGGTCAGTGCATCTGAACTTGGCTTTGATGCTGCTACGCGAAAGTACGACAAAAACCGCATTGAAGTGCTGCGATTGATGCTAGCAGCATGCTGCGATCCCCTCTTCTCGCCAGCCGATGAATACAATCCACTTGCCAGTCGATGGCTGGCGGTCGCCACCGCTGCGGATGCTCCCAACGCAATCTGCCTTTTCTACAGTTTGCTCAACACAATTCTATCCTACGACCCACGAGGCGTTGCAACGATGTCTGGCTTTTCGGAAGGCCACCACGTCAAACTGGTAGAGCTATCAGTCCAAGTGCTGTGCGTACTCTTGGACTGCGGATTGCCTGGCAGCCCCGAGCCAGTTCTGGATCACAATGCCGTTCCTGTCGTAGAATTCGACATGGCTAGCAAAGGGGGATTCAACATTATGCGAACGCTTTTGGCACGCATGAACTCATCGAAGGAACTCACATTTGTCTTTGACGGATTTGCGCGCCTTTTGCGAAACGTCTACGAAAGTGAGAACAACTATCTGCCGCATGCGGCTCCTGACTTGGAATGTTTCCAAGAGCTGCTGGTGTTGCTGTGGAAATTCTTGGAGGAGAATCCATTGTTCATGAATCACGTACTGACAAAGTGCAACGTGAACAAGCTCATTGTCCCCATTTGCTTCCTCATGTACAAGAGTCGCAGAGATCCTGCGCAGATTGGATTGGTGCACATTTGCACGTTCGTGTTGCTCAAACTCAGCGGAGAGCGCAGCTTTGGCGTTTCGCTCAACAAACCGTTCCAACAGAAACTTCCAACCGATCTCCCACTGTTCTCCGGTTGTCATGCCGACTTGTTGACCATCACCCTTCACAAACTCATTGTCAACGGTGCATACAAGTTGGTACCACTTTATTCCTGTTTCTTGACAATCATGTGCAACGTCAGTCCGTACTGGCGTAGCATGAGTCTCGTGGCGGCTGTCAAGCTTGTCAATCTGTTCGAGCTGTTCAGCAGCCCCAAATTTTTGTACAGCGGTGAATACGCCCATCGACACTTGGCATTGCTGTTGGAAGTCTTCAACAACATCTTGCAATACCAGTACCACGGCAACGCCCACTTGGTGTACGCCATTGTCCGACGAAAGGTAAGGAGGAAATTCATTCGTTGTCGCTAAATGACGTTCTTTGCTGTGTTTTTTTTTGTCTCACTCAACCAGTCTCCTCCTCATTTACTTCTTGATCAATAGGATTCATTCGGCAACCTTGCGTCACTCACATTGCAAAAGGCGCAATCGCAATGCCACAAGATCTACGGAGACCACACAACAGTTGCTGGCAACCGCGACAAGATGACATTGAGCCAAAAGGGCATCCCGAATATTGACGGTGGCGAAACCACAAGCGCACACAGCAGTGTTACCGGAACACCATTCCAGCCCACAGAAGCTTGGCTGACCGAACTCAAGGAGAGTCTTCCAATGGAAACTGTAACGCGCCTCTTGCAGCATCTTGTCCCAGTTGTGGACGAGATTGTGTTGAAGAAGCAAGGCGTCGTTGACGAGGCTGAGATTCTGGCCGTTCTCAATGAAATCACAATGGTAGGGTTGCTGCCAGTTCCCCACGCCATTGTCATTCGCAAATATCAACCGAACCAATACACAGCTCTTTGGTTTACTGCGTTCATGTGGGGTGTCATCTTTCTGCGGAACCAGAATCTTCCGCTGTTCGATGGCGGCTGCATCGAACTGTTCCAAGTATCAGTACAGGAAGATGACGATTAGACCAACCAACTGTGTTTTTCGGTTCCGCGCTCCCGTTTGAGTTGCAGAGCGGAACATGCTTCCATAGATTGTAAATGTCCCGTGCAGGCACAGTAAAAAGCGTCGTCAGTGTACGAAAGAATCATCCTCAGCCTACTAACTACTACGTAAACGAATATTATAATAAACCACACGTTTCTTTCCTCGCTCATTTCGGCAGCCACCGCCCACCCAGTCGATCTACTAGTAGCGTCGTTCTTTCGCTGTCGGTTCACCAGCCCTTTGGATCCTATCTTCCAGCCCAAACAAATCCTAAAGCCGCAAGGAGGGAACAACGCTGCTGAAACATCATCAGTACTTCCATTCGTCAACAAGTTTAGGTTGGGCAATTTCTAGCATCTCTTTTTCTGTCTTCCGTCTACATGCAAACATGCACAGCCGCAGCTTCCCGACAACATCCCGTCTTCCCACGGACGATGTCTACGATGTGCCAACTACCGTACCAGTACCAAGCATTCGTACACCAGCCATCTCGCGAAGCAATCTCCAGAAAATTACTATTCAGTGTCACCAAAAGCAACCCCAAGGTGGTTCGACGTGGCGCAAGGAGGCAACCACCGGTAGCTTGTCCCGACCTTACCCCGGCTGCCGGATCTGTTCAGCCCCACAGGCGATCGCCAGGCAACCGAATGCTTGCACACTGATCGAGCTAATCAGAATCCACGATTTTCAGTTCCTCGTGTTCTTCAATGGTGACTGCCTGCGGCACCATACTCGCCCTTCCAAACGTCTTTGTGGGCAAACTATCCACAACTTCCATAATGGCTTCTGTTCGACTGACAGCCACACAGGCAATGGTTTTGGCTAGATACAGAGTCACTTCACGTGGGATACAGGCCAGCAACGCAATGGCGTTTTCTCTGGTCATTGGGTGGAGGTCTTTGTTGTCGAGGATCATTCTCAAGCCCCGGTCACCCACCACAGCATAAAGGAAAGCTCCAAGAGGAGATTGCTTCACGTCAAAGCTGGATTCTGACCGACGTCCACCTGACAGGATTTGGTAGACCAGCATGTCCAAATGATCATCCACGTCATCTTCGTCGGCGCCAACGCCATTGAAGAAAGGATTGTCCTTGGCACCAGGAAGCGCGTCATTGATGGATTGTGAATTATGGTGACGTGAGGGCAGATCTCCCACAAACAAACTGAGAGGAGCATCCCCTCCAGTTAGGGCTGCAAAGGCAGCCAAAACGCTAGCAGAGAGCAATTTGGCCCCCACATATTTTTGTCCCAATTCCAAATTCTTCCTGGCTTGTTCTGTGAGCTTTGTGATTTCCTCAGATGGTGGGTCATTTTGAAAGGTGGCAAAAATCGCTGCCGGATCCAGGAAATGAAAGAACCCGTTCATTTTGAAGAGAGAATGTTGGAATTCCATGACGGTGAACAAAAAGCTCCGTCGCAGGGTGGTGTTGGTTTCAGTCAGCAAGCTCCATGTGTTGTCCAAAAAGTAGTAGATGTCGTCTGATCCAAAATTTCCAATATCTGCATTGGCAACCTTGGCAGCCCGTTGGACAGCTCTGACTAGTTCTTCTGTGGCCATTCCAAGACTGAAGTTGTCATTGGTCTCCACCATGTGATCGTACAATTCTTCCATGTGAGTTTTCTTTCCTTCCGTTGGTTTGTTTTTGAACGGGATAGTGGCTGCAATGCAGCAGGCGATTTTGGCACACTGTGCTTTGGTGAGATGGTCCTCCAATTGACGTACCGCCACCACAGCACTCAAGAATTCATTGAGTCCCTTTTGCCCAGTGATTTCCTCCCCCAGATGGTATCCAAAAATGTTTTCCACCATGGCGAGGGGGGCATCATGATGGTCAGCCCCATGGGCTCGACAGGTGTAACCGTCGGGTTGGAAGCATCCATGTAGAATATTCTTTTGATCTATGCTCAGACCTCCATCAACATTGTAATAGATACAGTCATGAAACATGGCCGCCAACACAGCAATAGGATCATTGTCGTGAAAGTCCTTGCTAATTTCAAAGACATGCTGCACGGAATGATAATTGCGACTGTCCCCCGACATGCATTCGTGGATGAGAATGGCCATGGACTCCAATTTGGGAGCATTAATGTTTTGAGCATCCAATTTGTCGAGACAATCTTCAAAGGTCACAAATAGACGACTCATGTAGGTTCGGGGTTTGTTGTTCTCTACCACACGTTGGTTGAGATGACGGAAACTGGTGAGGGTTTTGGATTCCAACATTTTGATGAACCGATTGCGACTGTCTACGGTCGACATGCGACGAAAGCCGGGAGGTCGTGGCGCTGCTGGTAGTAGAGGAACTTCCACTTCCGATGTGTTTGTTCTCGAAAAGCCGTTGTTGCTACTGGCAGCTCGACTAATATTACTGGAGCCGATATCGCTGGCGTTGCTGTTGCTCCCCGCACTGGTGGCACTGTCCAGGGTTTTGGACCGACCGATGCGGACCGGACTATTCCTGGGACTACCGCTTCGGACTCGCATGCCCCTAGGGACACGTAACTGGCTGGATCCATTGGCGGGTGAATAGGGACGATTTCGAGTGGGCGACGGAACCTTTTCCTTGCGAGGTTTTCGACGTCCCGCACGTCGCGCCACACTATTGACGATATCGTCCAAATCTCCCGTGAGCGACCTGGCCACCATGGATTGCGACATTTCACTATCATCATCCATTCGTCGTCGGGCATCACGGCGAGGACTGCCGCGAGGACTGTGTGCGATCGTGTTGCTGCGATCCAATCCAGCCGAGGCGGAGTTATTCGAGTTGTCCATGGTGTTCGTGGGTTGGCTTCGTTGGCGTTGGTGCTGTCGGACCACGTTTTCATCCAAGGAACCTGTCCGATGAAAGGCTCCTGTTCCTTCAGGCTTGGTAACAGCATTCTCCTTGGCCGTCATGGTGCCATGAAAGGGAAGGGAAGCAACTGAATCAAGGGAAATCCAGGGAAGAACAGAAGAGGATACCCCAGAAAAAGAAAAATCACAAAACACCCTTCAGCGCTGATTGTTCTTTGAGCGGAGCCAGTTTTTGGTCTCTCTCAAGCAAGCCTTGTAGCCAAGCTAATGTATGTTACCCCGCTTGCTAGCCAGCTTATTGTGGTGATGAATAGAGAGATGGCGAGACAAGGGTGTGAGTGACCAATGGTGTGTGAGTGAGTGTGTGCAGGTCCTTGAATGGTTGGATCCTGTCGTCACTCGACTGTGTGTGAAATCGTTATGCAGCAATTGAGTGAGTGGTTGACTTGAGCTGCATACAAGGGAACACGTTTCCCTCGTCTGCAAGATACCAATAGACATCAGAAACTTCACTACTTCGGTATATACCAGTACCGGTACAGTAGCTACCGGTAGTCTACTTTGATCCTCTAGCTAGCTACAGGCACTCGACCTCATTACCGGTACCAAAGGATATGTAAGAGTAACATGGAGAGTAAGCTGATATTGACTACTGCAGGAACTGAGCTCAACATGCCTACTAGTAGTGCATCTAGCTAGCTAGCTAGTACAAACACCTTCCTCCATCCATTCTGAACTCTTCTCATCAACCAATATACCGATTGTCTGACAGCCCGAACCTTGTGAGCGCATAGGTACCGATGGCCCTGATCGATGAATAGCCGAAGCGTGTCCTGCACTGGTACAGTACCAGGGGAGCGATTGGAGTCTATTCCTGAGCCAAGACCAGTTCATCGGGCAAAGCATTTGCCTCCAAGGAGCTCTCACTGCAGCTGAGGGCCTTGGTGGGTTTTCTGGTGGCTCCTTGGAGCTAATAACATCATACAGTGTAGTGGAGGAACTGGCTACCTGTAGCTAGCTAGCACGCGGTACCGGCATCCACTGGTGGTACCATCACCGTCATTTGTTGGTCTCTGCGGTGTACCGTAATATCTTAACTAAAAGGCAATTGTGGGTGGAGTTCTGGTGTCTCGTAAAACAATAAGTCCTGTGGCGTCGTCCTTAATAATTGCAGTAGTTATTGCTGAATCATAAAAGTTTTATTGATTTTTCTTCTCAAAAACCCTTTTTTCGAAGGTTCCAAAACCATCCACAAGACTCCACTCCACAAGCGACACACCCAGCACACAGCCACTGGTCACATCACTGTAGCCATCCTCTTCCGTCATTGCGTCATTGCCAATGAGAACGGCAGCAACTCAACTCAACTCTCCTTCCTGCTCACCACTGACAGTACCGTACTGTATTTGCCTGCAGCCTCTTGAAGCCTTCAACTGAGTCTTCAATTCTCTCGAGCTGTTGTGCTTGTTGGAACCTTTTGTTGTGTCTGTTTGAAAATTGCCATTATTCATTTGTTCCAAACCGAAAGCAAATGAGAAACAGGATGGCTTACTTTGGAAGAAGACTACAGACTATTTTTTTGCTATTGATTATATTCGTCGTCGTGTGGCTTCCATGTGTGTCTACTTCAGTCATCAGTAGTGAAGGCACTTGCAGCAGTGATGGCATGGAACAAGACTGCGACTACAAGGGCGTGAATGACAGCTACAGCAGTGAAACGCCAGAGGATGATACTGATACTGATGATGACGATGAAAGAACACTGACTATTACACACAAGGATGGCAACAACAAGGAGACTGTGACGATTGAACTGGGCGATGACTTGTTGCATCGAATTCACTTGGCATTGCAAGAGAGTGGCGTGCTCTCGGACGACAAGGAACGCATTCAACAAATTGCCATGGAAGAAGTGCACAAATGGCACGCGGAAGAACAAGACAATGAAAAGTTGCGTTGGCAACATCAACAATCCAAACAGCAACAACAATTACTCGAACAAACCGACTTTCCGTACACATTACAACCGCCACCACCTCCCGTCAAGGGCGAATACTCGTTGAAATTTGTCCAACAAGAGTGGTCTCCACCGGGAGGTCATCGCTACGCGGAATATGCCACGGGACAGTCGCCCTATTTTTTGACTTCTGAGCTCAAAAAACAATCGGACGACATTGCCCGATTGCGACGACCGTACATTAAACGCGCCATGGAACACGCGTGGAAAGGCTATGTCGATCATGCGTTTGGAGCCGATGAAGTTCGACCCCAGTCCAAACAAGGGACCAATCATTGGGGGGGCATTAGTGTCACACTCGTCGATTCGCTCGACACACTGTTGTTGATGAACATGACCCAGGAATTTCGACACGCCCGCGATTACGTCCAGCATGAATTGTCGCACGATCAAAATCGAAAAGTATCCGTCTTTGAAACCACCATTCGCTCTCTCGGAGGACTCCTCAGCGCTTACGACTGGTCCCGCGATGCCGTCTTTTTAGAAGAAGCCATGGATCTGGCACGACGACTCATGCGGGCGTTTGAACATCCCGTGGCGGGAGAAACGATATTGCCGTTTGGCGAAGTCAATCTCCAAAGTGGATCTTGTAATATGATCCCCTGGGCGGGTGGCAATGCCATTTTATCGGAATTTGGAACGCTGCAGATTGAATTCCGGTACCTCGATGAAATTATGCGCACGCGCGAGACACGGCGATTTCGGGACAAGGTGGAAACGATTTTTGAACTCTTGCACGAAATGTCACCCGATAATGGACTCTTTCCGTATTACATGAAGACGGATCATACTACTGATCAAACTGCGCCCAAAGAGTTGGGGCGCAGTTCTTCCAACAGACTCAAAAAGAAGAAAAAAGCCAACAACGATCCACAAAACAAACCATTTTTTACCAATGACCACTTGACATTTGGAGCCATGGCCGATTCCTTTTACGAGTACATGCTCAAAATTTGGTTACAAGGAGGAAAGACCGAACCCATGTATCGGGACATGTACGACAAGGCCATGCAGGGCATGCACGATGAACTACTCCATGTTTCCACACCATCCGGGTTGACATATCTCGCCGATCAGGTGGGAGGAGGAAACAATAAGAGAAAACGGATCCATCACAAAATGGATCACCTATGCTGCTTTGTGGGGGGTATGCTGGCATTGGGAGCCTACACGGATCCACTCGGGTTGGAGTCGCCGCGAGCGCAACGGGATTTGGAAACTGCCAAGGTGTGTATTTTGTGTGCTGTTGCTGTGTTCGTTGTTCTCCAACACTTCTTGTTGGTTGCTCACGATTGCATGTTTGGATGGTTTATTTTTGTACGGCAGGCACTGACGTATACGTGCTATCAGATGTATGCAAGAATGAACACAGGCATTTCTCCAGAATATGTCGAGTTTTCGGCGGGAGAAGACTTTAAGATTGGAAAGGGAGCACCGCACTACCTCCTCCGACCAGAGACGGTGGAATCCATGTACATTCTCAATGTCCTGACAGGGGATCCAATCTACCGAGAGTGGGGATGGGAGATATTTCAGTCCATTGAGAAGTATTGTAGGACTCATGTTGCCTATGGGTCTCTGAAAAATGTGCAAGAGGAAACATCCAATCCAAGGGATGACATGGAGTCCTTTTTCCTGGCGGAGACTCTCAAGTATCTGGTAAGTTGTGTTGTTTGTATTCTTCTAATCCGGACTGATGGATGAGCGGTGCCCGAGAAGACGAAAATCCATTAGACTCGACTCACCACTCTTTGAATCACTTGTATGTATGTTGGCGAGCAGTACTTGCTCAATGATCCTGACTCCAAAATTGATATCCTGAACAAGCATGTATTCAACACGGAAGCCCACCCGATGCGGATATTTCCTGTGATTGAGCAAGATCTCAAGGAAGATGCTAGGCAGAAGTAGAACCGGTAGGATGCAGAAAGGAAGGAAGGAAGGCCACAACCAGGAGCTGCAGTGAACACAACGGCTGGGAGTACCATTATGATTATGCTAGCCAACTAGCCCACCAGGTATTAGTCTAAGAAATGACACACAAAGTGAGCGAGGGAACCAAAGAGAGTTCAGAACAACGAAGACATGCACAAATGTCTTGCATCTTGCCACCAATACCATCTCGAATAATAAGGTTATTTTAGCGCCAACCTACAAAGCAAATAACATACACATTCTTCAACTCGGACAACGAGCCGCTCAAATGTAACAAGCCGCGTCTTTGGCCTTGTCTCTCCTCTTCTTACGAGATGGCGGGGCTGATGATGAGACAACTGGCTTCTCAAGCACCAGGGTAACCATTTCCAGCAGTCGAACAATGACATTCTTCTTTCCATAAACCTGCTTCGCCAAGTCCAATGGTGTCTGATTTTCCTCATCTGCTGCCAAGGCCGCTGCAGGATCAACTTCCAGCAACAACTCAACAATGGCATAGTGTGCCTTGGCAGTCACAGCATAATGCAACGGATTTCGCCCGCGATTGCAGACCGACTTTGTGGTGGTGGGGGCATGCACCAGGAGCGACTTGACCACTCGATACGATGACTTGTGCTGGCAGGCCAGATGGAGTGGTAAGAAGCCACCATTCGGATCTAAACTGGTTGCAGCTTGTGGGTACGCCTTCAGCAAGACGTCCACAAGTCCCACGGGCGCTCGGTAGCAACAGGCCAAATGAAGGGCCAGACGTTTCCACACAATACACTGCTTTGCGTCCTCGTCGGTGCCGTCGTCGTATTCCACATCATCAATCGTTGGATCGAGGCGATCATCCACGCCATGAAACCATTCTTGGGCAAGCTTGGGATCGTCCTCCGCCAAAGCAAGGGCAGCTTCCCAATCTTGAGCAATCAAAAGTGAGCTAATGGAAGCAGTCCTCTTTGGGGAGCCCAGAATGGAAGAGGATGACGACGAGCAGTGAATTTCCCACGGGACTTCTCGAGATGCATCGAAGCTGTCAACAAATAGGAGCGACCTGCATTGGTTGGGGCGAATGCAACAAAACACGTCAATGAAATGAGTGTGGTCAAGAAGATAAGAGGGCTCGATCATGATTGTGCAAAACAAGGTCTTACGGGTGGGTGGATGCTAAATCCTTCAGGTGGTCCAGTGGGCCCATCGAGGAGATGACCTCAACTGCTCCATCTTCACCAAAGTCTCCCGGCTCAAGTAGCGCCAAGCACTCTTGCTTCTGGGTGCATTCTTCCATGGCTTCAGAAATGTACTCACGAGGTGTCATGCTATGGTTGCCGCTTCTGATCTTTACCGACTCTGGCAGGGCTTGTCGAAGGACTAGTAACGAGTCCTTAAGCCGGGATGGATGGCGTTCATGGTGATGATGGTAGGGCTGCAGCATTGGTTGGTTTTGGCTTCCTGACTTCGTTGCAGGTGGGGGCGGAGGTGGTGGGGCTACCCAGGGGTCTAAAATCCACCCAGCGGAGACTATATGTATCGGCAGCATGCCCAAGACTGAACTCACCGCTCCCATGGGATGGGCTTCCAATAGCTGGCCTAACACTGCAGGAGAAGCTTGGTATAATGTCGCGACATGAATGGCAAGCAGTGAATTGTCGGGTGATCCCGCGCCATTGGCCATCGACTGCCACAAGGGCGAAAGGTCCCACGAGATGCCCCACAGTCCTGCTGCAGTGCCTCCATTTGAGAAGGTCTCCGAGGTGCTGTCTGTTTCCTGCGATCCAATAGGGAAGGGTGAAATGCCTCCTGAAGGGGACAATTGAAGGATGACCCCTTTTGGAGGAAGCTGCTCCAACAGGCCAGTGTTCGAGTCACCACCGTTCCACAGGTAGACTGAAGACGATTGACGAGACGATGAAGCCATCGAAGAACTCGACAGCGACTGCTCCATGAAGGACGCTGGGAGCTCGGCTTGTCCCGTGAATGGATCGAGATTGTCGTCTCCGTATATTGACGATGAGTCTCCCCCAGCATCAATCGATGCATCCAGTTGTCGATAGGGACGCCAAACCAACGAAAGGGCACGCCTTCCAAAGCTTGTCGACATGCTTCGATGATCCAGAAGGCTTTGGTTGGCGGGTGCACCTTCCTCAGGTGGGTTAGGTGGGTGCTCGGGCACGTTGGAGGATCGACCGCTGCTTCTTCGAGAGTCGCGAAATAGGCCAGGCGGGGATCTAGCGCCTCCAGAGCCCAGACGAGAATACTTTCTGAGTGCTCGAAAGGATCGCTTCAGCGATCGGGTGCCTTTGTTCGGCTGATCCATCATGCGGACAGGGACGGTCGCTGCCGAGCCATCTAACTTGAGGAATAAGGTGACAACAGCCGACGGTGGATCCAAAGCGACTACCAAGTGCAAGGGCAGTACCCGAAGTGGAAGATCATACAGCTCCAGCGAAACCGGTTGTGAGACTTCGTGCGGAAACAGCTTTGCCCGGATGAGCACTTTTTGCCAATCGCTTCGCAGGATAAGAGACATCAAAACTCTAGGTTCTCCTCTTTTTTGTAGTGGTCGTAGCTTTCCTCGTTGCCTGCGGCCGTCGTACGGCCGGGAGGGAGCTTCGGGCTGGCTTGAAGGTTTGGAAGGGGGTGCTTGACCCATGGCTTGCTACAGCTTTTGGAAAGAAGTATAGGGCAATAGCAGGTTCTCAGATGAAAGCGGAAATAATGAGGTCTGTTGCCTACAAGCAACCTGCACTGATGCGAGGCTTCGAAGACCTTGTTCTTGCTGTAAAATGCATCATCTTGTATACATCAAAAGCCGCGGTGATGTCTTGTGATGACTGCCCGGAATGAAAGAGAAAGTGCAGGGAAGAATCTCTGGTAACGTTGCTGCAGTCTTAGCACAGCCATGCTCCCTGCCTTTCACATTTTACGAAATTGTGAGGACAGAGGAAGGAATGTTCGGAATCTTACGAGATTCACTGATGGGATGCTGCCTCTCCGATTTGCTTTCTGAATGGCTCAACGTTTGCCTCAACGAACTCAAGGTGCGACGCCATCCATACTTTCATCGGAAAATAATGGTGACAGTCTAACACCCGCTCGAGAAGATTCGGCTTGACAAGGGTTGGGCAAAGCCCAATCGCATACCAGGTATGTACCGCACAAAGAAGCTTTCGCCCGGCGGCGACACTTCTTTCCCTCTTCTCTAGCTAGCTTACTTACGTAATCAAGCTTCACACTCCGATCGACTTATCAGAACATTCAACGAAGGCTCCGCTACAGGCGGGAGAATTGAAGATCATGGCACAAACATAGCCACACCAAACGGAGTAGACAGAAAGCCTTCACGTGATAGACTTGACTTCGGAAGTTTAACCGAAGGATTCTGGAGTTGGCAGACAACTGATCCAAAGGACGTATCCCCGGCTGAATACTAGTAGCCTGCTGCCAGGTATCTACACTGTGCCTAATCTGACGCGGCCATACATGTAAAGACCACACAACCAGCCCCTCGTTATCCTTCAATTTGTTTGTCTTGTCATAGCCCTTTGACAGCAGAGCCCACATAAGAAGGTTTGACTGGTTTTATTCATTTTTCTTTGCGATCCATTCGTCATCCTTCGCTGATGCTTCCTTGAACTTTTCGTCCATTGCCAAGTACTTGTCCATCAAATCATGCATTGTAGTGTTGCTGGATTCGGCTTGTAATAGCTCGTCAATGAGCTCCGCATCAATACCCACATTCTCTACCAAGTACTTTCTGGGATCCATCACAGTTCTACCTTGGATGGCGAGCCCTTGACAAACCATTTGGCAACGTATGCGGCCTGGATCTGAACCCCCAGGGGGGTACCTGAAGGTGTGATAGATCCAAAAATGGCGCTCATCCACATGGGCCACGAAGGTGTGGACTTCAAACTGACGAAAGACTGGACGGATTTCACGGCGATAGCGAATGGCGGTACCACCCACGACAAAATTCACCTGAAAGAGACCTCTGACAGTGAGAAAACCGAAGGCAGAACGAATACATTAATTAAAAGAACAAACGCTGCTACCTGCTTTATTCTTTACCTTATCTTTATACATCGATTCCATAAGCCCATTGTAGGCGCACAGTTCCCATCGAGCATATTCGCTATGGGTCAAGTATGCTGCATTATTGAGGTGAAGCATGTAGTCACAGTCGAACAGTCCAGCCCGAAGAATGCGAAATGAAAGGATTCTTCTCTCCGATTCCAGCAAGACCCGAGTTGGGATCATGGCGGCGTCTCGCCAGCCCCTTCGCAACAGCAACCAGAGTGCGTGGAGTATGAATGAGCATAATAGTTTCGAGGAGGGTAGGAATGATTGTTTGGAAGCTCTTGGATCTTGGATCTTCGACTTGATGACACCGTTGATAATCAATAATAATAATAATAATAATGTGGATGAAGCCAGTAATACTGTGCTTAGGCCGGTCTCTACCGGAGCGACTAAAGTAGGGACTAAAGGAGTACTTTAGCACCTTGTTCAGTCGCAGATTTAGTCCGTACCCTTTAGTTACGGAGGTGTCTACCCGCCACGGACTAAATCTTGAACTATCCAGTTTAGTCGATATTTTAGTACAAACTTTAAGAAAACGTTATCTACCACGATCGACTAAACGTTTCGACTAACCAACGTTTTCGTTTTGGATTTCGCTAGCCAACGATTTCGCTGCCATTTCGCTAGCTAGCCTCTTGTTCATTTCGCTAGCTTTATTGTTATTACTGCACTGATAGACCATGTCCAACACCAAGAAGAAGGCTAGTGAAGAGGCGGAGGTTCCCTCTGTTGGGGAGGAAGAAGAGGAAGAGGAGGTACTGCTGAAAGAACGAGAGGAAGTAGCCTCTGATGATGGCGATGATGATGACGATGAGGACGATGATGAGAGTATGGACACTGCAGCCCTTGGAAAGGAGCTTTTGGATAGAGTCAGTAAACCATTGAGGAGATCTCCTCGGCATAAGACCGTCGCCAAGGTTACCACCAAGCCTGCCACCGCCAAGAAGAGACCTCGTTGTGGCAAAGGCGGCAAAGGCGGCAAAGGCGGCAAAGGCGGCAACAACAAAAAGAAAGTCAAGAAGACGACAGCTGTCGCTGATGACAAGGGCGAGGGCAAGTCCCAGCGCAAGCGTGGTTCGAATTTTGATGATTTTGAGGATCAACGATTGTGCCGTGCCTTCATCAGTGCCACACAGAGCATGAAGGGCACTGGTATGAAGAGAGGAGACTTCTGGAAGAATCGAGTTGCTCCAAAATACAACAAACTGCTTGACCAAGAGGCTGAACCTGATAACGAAGGTAACACTATCTATGTAACACGAGCCGCTGACCAGCTCCGTCGCCGTTGGAATTTGATTGCGGGACGCTGCCGAAAATTCATGGCTTGTTACCGTCGGGCCCATGCCGAGCACCGTACTGGATTCAATTCAGAGGAGGACTACATTGATTTTGCCGTGGAGCTATCGTTTAGTCTTGGCCACACGCACCAGCAATTTTATTGCTGTTTTATTTCACCGGTACTAAAAAATAGATGGCAAACTCCGGTACTTAATTGAACGTTTCGATATTTTCGTATGTACTTATGGCTGTAGATAATATAGCAGCGATAAAATAGCCGTTTGAGTATTATTCAGGAATCGATCCAGTGCTCCTTTCCCCTCACCACCGGTACACTATCACTGTAGCTCGAATGGCTATTTCGTCGCACCTCTAGTACCTTTATGTATAGACCTGTAACTTGCTTGATATTTGGTTGATTTTAGTCACCAGAACGTCTCCTGAAAGAGGAGAAGTAGCTCTTCAAATAAGTGCATTGGGCTTAATAGAGGAAGTCAAGCTGAAAAGGAGTTAATGAGCTTCAAAGGTGAAACAGCGATTTTGTAGCCGATTTACAGAGTGGCCCAGACTAAACGGTACAATGAGGAGAATAATGAAGCTTTCAATCATCGCAATTGCATTCCCCACTTGACCGAGTGGCCCGTCTTTGATCCCCATATCACCGAGACAGAAGAGGGCAAGAGCCCTGACAGCCCTGATTCCTCCATGACAGATCCCGCGGCTGCTACTGCCACTGCCGCGGCTGCTACTGCCATTGCCACTGCCGCTGCCGCCAATAGAGAAGTAAGTGAAAAAGGAGTGGCCGATGACAATTCCGACTCGTCCTAATGCCGCCACCGTATATCGACAGGAAGACAATAGTGGAACATGGAGCCACCCAAAAAACTATACCGAGGTTTAATTCAATAACTATAGTTTGTGTCCAGTTTTAAATTCTACAAGAGCCACATGTAGACGCTCATGCTCTGTGATATCCATCAGCGAATGCCACTGTTGCCTACGAATCATAGTATCTCGAACACTCCTTGGTTGTTCCTCCCAACCAATCTCGGGTGGCTCCTCTACTAGTTTTTGGACGGTTTGTCTGTCAGGCGGCACATCAATGACAATTTCTTGATCAACTGTAGTGACACTTGGATCGTACTTGGCCCTCACATCTCCCATCACCCGATCCACAACACACATGTTGTGGAGAATGAGGCAGGTGTTGACACGGGTTCCAATTTTGCGCAATTCCAAATCCAGGAATGGACGAGCCATATATTGGAATTTGGCCTGAATCACACCGTATGCCCGTTCGATGTCCTTCCTAGCCGCCTCCTGCCAAGCGGAATATTGTTTCTCCCAATCCAAAATTGGCTCGGATAAAGTCTTGACAAAACGGGAGTATTGTGGGTATATACCATCGACCAAAATAAACATCTGTGGAAATTCTTCATTGCCAATATCAAAAGGGACGACACCACCAATAGTCTCGAGATCGGTAAGCTTCCCGCTGAGCATGTTTTCCAGCAGAGGCGACATGTCAAAAATTGTTATGTCATTGAGTGTTCCGGCATAGCCGAACGAAGCATGCCAGAAGAATAAATTGTAATTGCACATTGCCTCCAGAACCAGGGTAGGGACCTTTTTCGCTCCTTGGAAAGCTCCTTGCCATTCAATTGGGCACTGCTTCCAGCGATTGTGCATACAGTCAAGACTTCCAAGCATTCCAGGAACACCGTGGGCCGCCAAGTGAAGATTGAAAATATTTCGTAAATCAGTGGCAGTCGGAAAACCAAGGTACTCGTCTTGATACAAATGAGCCAGGATGTCATCAAAGTTACTGTGGCAATCCCTTGCAAAGGTCTGCGACATTTGGAAATAGTCACGGAATGGTTGAGCGGGAACACCGTATGCCAAACATTTCAACGGCATCAATAGACGTGCGTCCAAACATGATACCTGCCGGTCGAAAGCGTTAGTGGACCCAATGTAGAAGTCATGACCCAAATTCATGACATCTTCTCTCAATCTCTGGTAATGAGGACGGCTGATGTGGTAGATATCCTCAAATTCCTTGAAATCAAATGTAGGGACCGGTCCAAGATAGTCGTCTAGAATACACCGGAAAGCTCTGGCATGGTTGTATTGCTTCCAAGGTTTCCTTGGCAGAAGACGGTGGTCAACCATGGGCTGTGGTGTGCCATCGTAATCATCCGTAGCCAACATTACAGTGGTATCGGCCATTCCCATGACGATATCCAATGCCTCCCTGGAAGAGTCGGAATCCGATGAGGACGACATAATAATAATAACGAAGAGTATAGTGGCTTGACTAAACGCAGTGACTAAAGGTTGAGTTACAGCTTGGCTTGTTGGGCAAGTAGATGCCTCTGTTGTTGAGGCTGTGCAATGAGGCTGATTGAAGATTGATTCATTCTTAAAGAGTTCTTAAACAAGCTTTAGTCCTTACGCTCGCTCATGGACTAACCAGCCTCCCGTTAGTCGGTGAACGAACGTTTTGACTAAAGCCTTTAGTCCGTACGACGTTTAGTCGCTTGGGTAGACACCACCCCAGAGACTAAACTATCGACTAAACTATGAAATATGGCTTAGTCGCTACTTTAGTCGCTTGGGTAGAGACCGGCCTTAGCTACCGACGCATTGAAAGGTATGGGTAATGAAAATTTCAAGTTGCCCTGATCCCTCCTTTGACTGTTCCATCGTGTAAAGAGTGGTGTAAAACCCAGGGTGGACTATGGGTAACAATGTCATAGAGTGTAAACTGGTGCATGGCCTCAGGAACCTATGCATCATAGTAGTCGCGAAAGCGCAATGATTTTCTATGAGTCCGGTTAATATACTTTTAGTACATACAAACTTCAGATTTTGAAATAAGGAAGCTCGCCCGGCAATTTCTTTCCGTATTGGGACTGAAAGGCAAGCCGTTTCTTTAAGTCACAGTCAGTCACATTTCAGAAAAGAAGAAAACCACGATCTCAAGTAAAGCAGCACAATAAATCCCCGTCAATCGCCGAAGCCCTCTTTGACCACTGAAACACCTGTAAAGAGATGCTTTCTCTCACAAGCAGAGTGCAACACCTCCGTTCCCTCCGCAAGTTTGCCAGCAAACAGATGTGTGATGGTGTTGGGAGAAGAGGATGAGCGAATGAAGGCAGATGACAGATGAGAAGATGACTCGCACCACCCAATGACTGAACGGTCCAAAGCGAACGGCGAAGCAAGCGAACGGCCCATCCCCTATGTCCGATTGATTTGCTTGAGCGGTGGAGCGGCTTCGCGTTGGATGAGATGCCGTCTTCATTAATCCATTCGGATTGGATCTTCTTCCGTTGCGACGACATCTGTTGCCTCTGTCACAGTGGTTCGTGCCATCTTCCACATGCACCCAAATATCGATCCCATCTCCAACAGACCAATGCTCGCGCAACGAGACTCATGGTCGAGAAATCGAAAAAATTTGTCTGTGATGAGAGATGACGTGCAACCATGTCTCGTATGGAAGTGTCAACAGCAGTCGCACATGATCGAAATAGATGCACTTGTGGGATGCGATTTTCTTTGGTGCATGGCAACAAACTCAAGACATGTCGCAACACAACAGACATGTGCTGGACTGGAGAGTCCGGCCATCTAAGTTTAAAAGCTACGCCTCAATTTTGGGCTCACATTTTCTGCCAAAAAAGGTCCTTTATTTTCATCCTCGGTTGTCACTTGGGGAAGTTCTTGTTCCTGCACGGGAAATGGATAGATCGACAAATCCAAAAATGTTACAGACCCCCATCGGCAGAACAACAACGGTGCAACAGGCTCGTAGATGTATTTGTTGTTTGTGTCTTTCCATCATTCGGTTGATCTATTCCATTCGTCGATGATGACATAAGTATACAATGCATCTTGGAATGAAATGAAAGGTTTATAGTACCAAGCGCGCCCTAGCTAAGCAGGGTTAAGGCTAGCTAGTTCCAGAAAGCAGAGAAGGATTCAAGGCATAATTTGGACTAGAGTTATTGAGATGACTTGGTTACTCGCTTTGACTCTATCCAAAACAAGCCTCACAATATTTGTTTGTCAAGATCCATCTTGCCTGCTGCTTGATTGAGTCTGCATAGACATGGGTTGAGCCGTCTGGCACTGATCAGCCTGAATGCACATCCCATGTCCTCTGCAGAAGTTTTCTTTCTCCCACCCTCCCAGCCGGAATGCCAAAGGATTTGGGCATGAGTTGCCACTCATGCCCTATCTCCTGATTTAGTTGATTTTGAAGGGATACATCTAGCAGGCTGAGGACATCAGACCCTTCCATGCCCTCCTCATGAATGATAGTCTTTGACGTCAGATTGAGGTTGGCTGGAGCAAATAGGGTTCTGCATGTTCCTCTCCTCATTATGATAACTACCCAACAGATCGCTCATTGGTACCACTTCTAGCTAGCTTCTGCTGGAGAGGGCTGCAAGAGATATCCCCCCACTAAGATGAGTAGTTTAATATTTGTAACTATGTGAAGTTATAAATTCCAGGCTTGGTTATTGACAACAGATCCAGACCTCTTTCCCTCTAGCCGACCACCCATCGTACTGTACGGTACCCCTCGCGGGTCCTTCCAAGATTGAGACCAATTCATTTTGAAGCACTACTAGCTAGTGCATGTACTGTACTAGTAACATGTAACCTCATGCTGTCGGACAGAGACATGGAATCTTCAAAAGCGACCGGGACGTATGATAGTAGAATGGAGAGCCAATTTCCAAGCCAAAATAACAGTCTAGCCCAAGGAGACTTCCTTGTATTCACGTGTAGCATACAGTATGGCCTCCTGGTGGGCCAAACCAAAATACAACTCCCACCAGCTAAACCCACCTCAAGCAATCCCTGTTGGGATATGATACGAATTCATTTTTGTTACGTACGGGTACATCACCATTCCTCTGCTTGCACTTTTCTTTTGGAGTGATTGGTTCAACTCAAGCCTCAGAACTGATCATCTGCAAACTGCAATCAAGTATTGCCTGAAATTCGGTTAGATCCTCAAGCAATTAATTGTTGCTTTGTACCATCACCGTTGTTGCCTTCAACCTTGCCTTGAGACATCTTCGCCTTGAAGCAATGTTTCCTCCGAGCTAGCTAGAAAGAAATCAGTCCCTCTTTGCTGAAATCGTATCAGCCAGCTGGAAAGTAATTGCTTGGCTTTTATAAAGACTGACAGGAGTAAAATGACACCATGGGTAGCAATCAAGCCTTCATACGCTCATACGATTTCAGCAGCTGTAGAGCTCTGCTGAAAGGCTTGGAGGTGAGGTGGTGGCCAAGAGTTCCCCTACGGCGCTGGAACCGCGCATGGATGTCCTCTGAGCCGACCACAGCAGCCCGGCTGTCCACGAGACGTTTCAAAACAGGCAGCTATGCTTTGCCATCTGTGCTGATGAGTTGGCTCGCCCTAAAGTTCGCAACAACGCACAACTGCTTTGCCATCTGCTTCCGATTCCACATAAAGTGACGTACCTTCGAAGTACAGCCCCCCAGATGGTCAGACATTCTTGGATGACGTATGAGTGCTGAATTTGTGGACTTGGAAGCCTTACTGACGCCATCAGGGCCCATCAGTTCGCATCAGAAAGCCGCTCTTAAATGAGTGACGAGTCACTGTCACAGCGTAGAGTGCCAGGCCTTCCACATGTGATGACAAGACTGTTCGACTCTGACTATCCATCGTGTCCGCAATGCGACAAACCGCAACAACCAGCCAACTCTCAAACTGCCCTCAATCTGCTTTTCCAACAACACTTCGACCAGTCTACGTTTTATACGTAATCTATCACTACCAGCTTGAATGATAGACCCATACATCCGTGCCAGCTCCTTCCGCCTAAAGTGAGAGATATGGCTGACAGCCCATCGGACAAGCAGAGCACCGACGGGGTGGAGAATGATCAGATCCCACCACCTGCAGCGGAGTCCCAGGATCCCCCTGCAGCGGAGGTAGATGATAATACCCAAGACGAGGCTGCTGCAGTAGACGACGAAGACCACGAGCGCTTAAAGAGCTACCTGCGCGGCATTGTGGATCAATACTCTGCCATCAGTGAGGAAGAACGATTAGCTTTGGTCGAACAGTCAACCATAACATCCTCGAGCCACGAAGACCAGGTACCGTCGTCCAACAGCGAAGAGGAAAAACAAGAAGCAACGACTTTGCCTCAGCATGCCGCCGAACGACCGCCACAAGAAGAAGACAAGACAGAGCCATCCTCGGAACCAACAAGTAGTGGGACCCAGAGAAAGCGACCTAGACGAGCAAGCTTAAAGATGGATAGTGAGGAGGAAGAGGATAAGAAGCCCAGAGCAGTTGGACCAGCCAAAGGGTCTGGTTCAGCAAAGAGCAGAAGAATAGGCAAGGAAGAAATAAAGCGGAGAGAGGAAGAGCTGGAAGCAAGCTTGCAGAAACGAGCATCGGCATCTGCGGAACTAGGCTTAGTTTCGAACTTTAGCAGGGGACAGAGAAAGAGAAAGGGCAGTGAGCCGGTGGGAGCATCTGCCGGGAAGAAGAAAGAAGCGGCCAAGCAGGAAGCCCTTGATCCACAGCTTGAGGAGAAGCGACTAAGAGAACGCCTGAATGGGAGACGGAAACGGGCCAAGAAGATCATTGTGATAGATTGCCTCAATGAACAGTACCATAACCTCACCGATGAGAACGACAGACTCAAGAAGGAGAACGCAGAGATACGGGGGAAAATTGAAAGGGTTCGGGGAATCATCCAAGAAAAGCAGCAAAAGGAGCACCAGAGAGCTTTCCAGCAGCAGCAGCAGCAGCAGCTCCACCAACAACAGCACAACAGCTGGGAACAGCCATGGTGTCTATGCCTAGTCCAATGATGAGCGCCGCCATGCCAGCGCCTGCAACCAGAATTCCTTCCGCACCTCCTCCTCCGGTTCCTCAGGCTCTCAACCCAGCTACCCCAGTGCCGGCAGCTCCCGCAAACACGTTCGAACAACTGCAGCAGATTGCCTGCAGCAGATGCTTGCCCTGCCAGCAGACTCTTCAACCGCCGCAGCAAGTCCAGCAGCAAGTTGCAACGCAACAGCCTCCGCAAATGCAGTTTGCCCCACCAGATCAAATGCAGGCGTTTATGCAGCTGTTCACAGGCGCTGGTCCGCAGATCGCTCAAATGATGCAACAGGCCCAACAAGCTCAGCAAGCGCAACAGGCCCAACAAGCGCAACAGGCCCAACAACAGCAGCAAGCCCTCGTCAATGCCATGCAGCAACTGCTTCCAATGTTCATGGCGCCTCAGACGCAGAACCCTGCTCTGCAACCGAACGGAAACGCCTTTGCGGCTCTCGCATCCGCCCCCAACCTAACAAACACGTTGGCGGCGGCTTTTGGATCAGCCATAACAGCAGCCATGGCTCCAATGATGCAGATGGGTCCTCAACCTGGAGCGCCGGCTCCGAATCTAGCCATGGCGCAGCATATCCTTCAGGCTGTTGGCGGTGGTCAACAAGCACACACAACAACACAACAACAACAACAACTTACAACAGCAACAGCAAGTTACACAGCAACAACAAGCACCCGTCCAGCAACATCTGTTACTAATGCAACAACAGCCTACTCCTCCTGCTTCCACAGGCCAACAGCAGCACCTCCAGAGCTTTGCTCAACAGCCTGCCCCAGCTCCACCTGCTGCAGGCCAACCAATGAACCCAGCTCAGTTCTTTGCACAACAACATCTTCTCCAGAACTTTATGCAGCAACCAGTGCAGCCTGCCCAAATGCAACCACCGCCTCCTGGACAAATGCAGCCAATGCCTCCTGGACAAATGCAACTAATGCCGGCATACCCTGGGCAACCATCCATGCCAATGCAACCCCCGGTAGCTCCTCCACCGGGACAGCCAATGCCAGCGCAACTGCAGCCCCTTGATCGGCAAGCCATGGCACAATACTTGCAGCAACACAGCAACAGTTTCATATCCAGGTTCCACAGTTCCATGCACAGGGACAGGGACCTCCTTTGCCTTCCGCAGCAGGAACGCTATCTGGAGCTTTCATGGCTGTCCAAGGAGGACAGATGCAACCACCACAAGGAGACAGTAGACCACCAGGGCATGGGCCTCCGGGTTGATACCAGCAGTGATAGAACTGCCGCAAAATAAATCGTCTGTCCTACTAATCTATGATGCAGCTTCAGCAACGTGCAAAGTCATTAGTGCCCCCCAAATTTATTTGGTAGTGCCAACAACACTAACAACAATGCGGGGCCCAAAGGCATAGCTCAGATGGCGTCATAGCGGTTCAGCTTGTGTATTGACGTGCACAGTAGGGAGTATGCTTGGCCGAAGCACGGTTGCACCAATTCATAGCTCCATTCATATAGAGAGCGTGTAAAGAAACAGCTAAAGAAACTAGATTGCAATCAATCATTGGGCTAATGTATTACGGCTACATGTAGTGCAAACACTACGAGAAGGGCTGTTTACTTTTCGTTTGCCTTTGAAGCTGGACGACTTCCGACGACTATGCCAGTGTGACTCCTCGTTGGATGCAGTGCTTCTTCGACCATGTAGCGGGCACAGTCCATCTTGCCAGTTCCAACCCAACCACATCCACGCCCTTTTTATCCTGTGTAAAGTACTCACCCACAGGGACGACTTCTTCGCCCAAGCCGGTGGGGCGGATCAACAAGTAGTCCAGATCTGAAGCATGATAGAGTTTTTCCATTTCTTGCAGATCCTTGTAGGCTTTGCGGGTGTTTGTCCAAAAGAATATCTTCATGAGCTTACCAGCCCAATGGATGTTCTCTCCCATGCCCATGGAGGACATGGCAACGACGCGTTTTACTTCGGCCTCCTTCATGGCTTGAATGACTTGTTGGCTGGCCGCAGCAGCTACCAAGCCCCTTTCAATTAGCTGAGGGTATTTCACTCCAGGTTGCCGATGGCCCAGGCAAGAGACCACCCCAGTACAACCCTGGAAATGTTGCGATAGATTGTCTTGTTGATTCTGCCAACTGTCGATCTTGACCACATTAATCTTGGACGCATGATCTTTGGACGGGTTGGTGTGACCTCCTTGACAGTTGCATTCCCAGTTTTCCTCGTCGAGCAACTCGGGGTATTCCGTGATGACGGTGATGTGCTCAACGGTTGGCTGCTCCAAGGCCGCCAAAATGGCATGCCTTCCAACGTCGGACAAGCCACCGATACCATACAGAACCACAAGACGAGCAGCCATTGTCAGCATTAGTTAATCGA